GACACGGTATTATGACGTAACAATGGGTGTAGCTAAAACGCAGAATGGAAAACGAAACGAAACGAAAAATTTCAAATATAGCCAAAAGCAAAACAATTTATGAACTATGATTTATGAACCTTTACATTGATTAATTAGAAGGGGTTTTTAGCATTCTTCTGTAGGAAATTGGCGATATTTCGTACGGCATACATAAAACCATGAATTTATTCAAAGTTTGGTTTCTATCAAAGTCAGGATTTAGTAAGTGAAAGGAGCCGACAGATTTGTAATGATCTTGATTCTCCTTTGCATGGAGTTCATCGGTGTGTTTATCCTTCAAATCCTTTATTTGAAAGAGTTCAGCATGTGTATTTCGAACCCTGATGTCCACCATTAATCCAACATAAAAGATGGACTTTACGGAGACCAGTCCAGTGGGTAAATGTGATTGGGTGTCTAACATTTCCTTAACATTTTCAAAATTGTCATTACAAAATTGTCAACATAATCATTACCTTTACGAAAAAGGTTATATTAAAGCTACCATCTAAAAGAATGCAGTGTACATTACCACTACACTGTCTCTTCCGGTAGTCAGCGGCTTATGCATGTTAAGCATAAGATCCAATTCCCTTGCTAACCAGATGGAGGTGAAAGTCAAGACTTCGAACAGGATTTTTTTAATTAAAAATTCATTTTTATTTATCTATTTAATTAAACATTAAGAAAGTTTTAAAACCGAGAAATGCTCAATGATAAATTTGAAGCACACAGACTTAACATTTTCTTGACGTACTACTTTCTGAAAATCTCTTCTAATGAAAAATATTTGGTGCCATTGCTGACTGATACGATATTTTTGCGGTAGGTAACGAGTTGTAATCGGCAATAGCCTTATTTATTGATAAATTGTAGCAGTAATGATCACCAAAAATTCAACAACAACAAAAAAAATGCTGAAATTTTGCGCAATGTAGCGGCAATGTTAACCTCTCATGTAATTATTTGCGAGAAAATCATGAAGAACCCTGGCTACACTGGGCCGGGGGTAAACATGCCGAAAAATTAGGCTCACAACGCGTATATATGCGCCAATGAAAGGAACATCAACAGTTTCGAAATCACAGAGATGAACCAGAAATAGCAATGTTTTAGAAAAACCTTTTTTTAAAATGTAACATTTTGTACCAAATGACTCACCTAGCCAAAAATGTTCTTTTTGGCAAATCAAAATACAATATTGGGGAACACATTGTCCTTTCTTATTTCACGGGAAGCCGATATATCAAAAGAATGCCTTTTTTCACTTTTCAATTGCGCTTACATGTATATTTCTTGCCGAATCCCAACCAAAAGCGCCCTTGTTCTTCTATATTGCTTATTCGATAGTTCCATGTGTATCCAATGCAATTCTGTCAAATTCACTGATCTTGTGTTAGAGTTATGAATATTTTAGCCAGGTACAAATACAGATTATTTGTTTTTATCTAAATTTATTACACACTTAGTAATAAATACAGGTTTTTTGCATATGCGATATGGCTGACGTCACAATAGCCGTATCAACCCTGCAAGGCTGATATGGATTTGCGGGGCTGATATCCGTATCAGCCCTGCAAATCCATATCAGACCTGCAGGGCTGATACGGCTATTGTGACGTCAATATCACACCCTTAATAAATTAAACCACAAAAACAGTACTTGTGATCATACACAATTTTTGGTGGGTTCATATTCACTTCATTTTAACTTTTTGAAAATAAGGTTAATCTTAATTTACAAATACATGTAATACTATAGAATATTTTCAAATTACGGATCAAGTGCATTGAAATAGAAGTAGAAACAAACCCAAATCGTATGAGACATAAGACTATGTGCATGTATGTAAGAAGTCCATGCATGATTATTTACTTATTTTCTTCTCAACTGAATGTGTTCTGTATTTTATTACTAAGTATGTAATAAATATAATAAAACATACCCTTTTCCATATCACATCCTGTATCAGCCCTCGACCAATATCAGCCCTCGGGCCTTCGGCCCTCTGGCTGATATTGGTGTCTCGGGCTGATACAGGATGTGATATGGAAAAGGGTATGTATTATTCTCTATATAAACTTCTGTAATATTTTGAGCGTTATAATGTACATGTAGGTTATGCCGTTATTTCGGTAATATACCCTCTTTGTAACTTAGAGAAATGAAATGTCATGTTCTGAGTTAAAATTTTCTTTGTATTCAATTTATTATGATCACCAACTGACTTTATTTTTAAAACTTTGATGAAAGTAGAAAAATCCTCGAATTTTAGGGAAAATGTCTTAAATCTTTGAAATATATGTAACTGAACAAAAAACAGAAATGCAAAAGCAACTATCCTAAAAAATATAAACATAATTTTAAAAACCGGTAATAATAAACATGCTGAACAGAGAATCCTCAAGAACTCTATAGAACCCCCGAGAACTTGATCTTTATCTGATAAATGAAAGAAATTATATGCATAATTGAGTTTAGTCTGAAATATCTGACGTTTTCCAGGCTTTTAACGATTTTGGTAGTTTCAAGTTTTCCTGGCATGTAAAATACCAAAATCGTAATAAAAAAAACCCTGAAAAACAAAATATTTCGGACTAAATTGGGATGCATGATTCCGATTGAATATCTAAAACGTTTCTTGAAATAATAGATCACATATAAATTAATCATTTACAGGCAATAAATAATCAAAAATAATCAGGGTTCTCTAAGGTCCTTTAGAGTTTTCTAGGTTTCTCTGTTTAGCAGCTTTAAAAAAGATGCATATAAAGGACAATTTCAAGTAAAGCATAAACCACTAAAATAAAAAAAATTACTCCTTGACTCTAACAATAAATGCCTAAAACTTTCAACAACAAATGAAAAATCCTTTTTGGACTAGGCCAACTTCAGAAAAATGTTTGTTTGCTCTCTTCCAACTCGGTCTGAAAATTTTAGGTAGATGAAATTTTTTTTTCTCTGAAAATTTCAATTTCAATACTAATTTTTAAAATTATTTTGAAGAGTACATATGAAATATAATTGCTGTCTGGAGGTTTGGGACCATTTTTAGCCAGTCGGGTGGAAGAGGGGAACCAAACATTTTTTTAAAGATAACCCTAACAACAATAAAAAGCCACGCCACAGCATGATAAGGCCGTCAAAAAATTACAATTATCTTAAACAGTTTAGAGTGCAAGAAAAACATGTCAACCTTAATTCTAAGATTTCCATGATTTTTTCCATTGCTAAAATATTTGTTTATCCATCCCCTGTGGTGCAGATATTAATCATAACAAATATTACATCATTGATAGATTTCTATACTGGTTGTATTAGACATTGTCAAAAGCTCATCATATTAAACAATATCAAATTAGTCTTAACAACTAATTTTTACCCAATTAATTTTGAAAATAAAAGGATGGCCATCAAATGACATATGCTATTTAAACGGACCAGCAGTTCTAATTCCCAAAGGATACAGATAAGAAGATGCTAGCTAGCATTCCTACATTGAACTCATTAATTAATCTTTGACTGGATGCTTGTCTACTCATTACTAGAGATGAATGAATCTGCACTATCTATCATAAAATAATTTTAAAACATATAAAATACTCAATGATTTTTTTTTTTAAATTTAATGTCAGAAAGGTTTTAACATGCGATTTCTATGGAAAATGGACATGCTGATTCCACCCCCATAAAATCAATTTTTTACATTAATAATATTACAGATGTATATAATATCAGATTAGTTTATCATGCAATATCAAATTAGTGTTAATTACTTTTCATCAAATTCATTTTAAAACTTAGGCTAGCCAACAAGAGCTATTTTTAATCCAACAGGCTTACCCATCTGCCCAATACCCAAGGGATATAGAAAACATCAATGCTCTACCAGTTACCTCCTCACACTAAACTCATTAATTTCTCTCTAATTTGACATGCAATTTTCTGTTATCAACATTCTTGACTAGTGCTTGATACTTACACTCATGGGAGAAATGGGATTTCTCTAACATACATTATATTTTTTATGGATTGCTGTCAAGAATATGCTGAAAAAAATAAGTATTTTCTTGATTTAACACTTTTTTAATAAGGATACAATTATATTTTAAAATTTTTTAGGATTATGAAATTCAAAACTTTTTAAAGACTTATTATAGTTTTTTTTTTTAAAAATTCACTTAAATTAAAGGTCACAGTGACCTTAAAATACGTCGCGACACACCTTCTACCCAAGATGTATATATTTGCCAAGTTTGATAGTTCTAGGTCTAATAGTTTTCTAGTTATAAGCCAGACAGGATTTTTCCATATTTGGTCATAGCATCTTAATTAAAGGTCAGAGCGACCTACTTTTTGCGCGCGACACACCATCTACCCAAGAAGTATCAGTTGACAAAGTTTGATAATCCTAGGCCTAATAGTGTTGAAGTTATGAGCCAGTCACGAATGGACAGACGGACGGACATGAAGCCTATAACATAATACCTCCCGTCTTAAGAAGAGCGTATAAAAATATAATCTATAAAGTAATTAGTTGAAACTTCAAGCATCATATATAAGTTTCTAGAATGCATTTAAAAGTATTAAATTAAATGCTCTCTTCAAAAACATAAATAAAGATTGCACTACTGAGTATTTAAGACTTACATGAATAGCCAGTTATGAATCTATACCTGAGCTAAATTTAAAATACTGATAAGAATATAATACTGTACTTTATTTCGTTTTTATCATGCAACAATTACAATGAATGATTAAAATTTTCGTGTACTTTGCATATCAGGCTGTAAACATTGATGATATGAAATGTATACCAGTAAAGCCTTTTTTCAACAATTGCTAATATACCTCAAGTAATTTTTTCAGAATTCAAAGACAACTTCTTATGTTCAAAAAGAATCTTTTGGGTAATTTGCATGAACAATTTAAAAAAAACCTGTAAAACTAGAAAAATAAACTGAAAATCAAGTTAAAATCCTACTAAAACTTCCCTGAGTAATAAAAAAAACTTTAAAAATGGTCATGATTTCGTCACACTGGTATAAAAAAAAAGCAAAATTGTTCCCATGTTTTACATTTATAATGAACACAATACTGGAGAAATATAAAGTAGCCTATCTGGGAATATCAGACTTCATCTCCCATTTGTTGCTGCAGAGATTTTAATTCTGCCTTTAATTTTTTTATCTTATCCCGAAATTCCTCTTCTTCTTCCAGTATGATCAAGTGTCGTAGTTCCTGTGAACATAAAAATATATAACACGTTATGGAATTCTTCTACTGAAAAACCGAAACTGCAAAGTTTCTCAGTCTTCATAAGACATTGCAGTCACAGTGTGTAATACTTTAGTCTTTTGGAAGTAAAATGCTTTACAAATTTTCATCAGGGATGTCTGCTATGAGATTTAACTTTGATACTGGTCTAAAGGAAAAGATACACTTGGTTTCTAACATTTCTGTCCGGGTTTGAGACGATTTTACAATTATGATACTTGATTTTTCTAAACTTGTTCAAAGTTTTATTTGAAAGAGACTCAATTAAAATGAAAATAAGCATTTGAAGTAAGCTGTAATTAAATTACAGTACATGTAACAATTGCTTGAATATAATTTGGTATCAGAAATGGAATACTAACCTGTATACAGTGATATTGTGGTAGATTCAGACTCTAATTGTATAATCTAACTGGATAGATAGTCAGTGAGTATTATATTGCCTAGATAGACAAAGAATTTTAGACAGTCGATGTGCATTTTTACTTGCCTGGATAGACAGAGAAAATGTAATCTAACTGATAGACAGTCAGTGTGTATTTATTTGCCTGGATAGACAGAGAAATAGTTTAACTGGGAACACAGTCAGAGTGTATTAATTTACCTGGATAGACAGGGATGCTGTAACCTGACTGGATAAACAGTCTGTGTGTTTAAATTTACCTGGATAGACAGGGATGCTGTAACCTGACTGGATAAACAGTCCGTGTGTTTAAATTTACCTGGATAGACAGGGATGCTGTAACCTGACTGGATAAACAGTCCGTGTGTTTAAATTTACCTGGATAGACAGGGATGCTGTAACCTGACTGGATAAACAGTCCGTGTGTTTAAATTTACCTGGATAGACAGGGATGCTGTAACCTGAATGGATAAACAGTCCGTGTGTTTAAATTTACCTGGATAGTGAGGGCGGTTGTACGGGACCCAAACCTGTAGTAACAATCTTCCTCAGGTGTCACTGTGTAAAAGGTGCCTTTTGATGGAGTAAGAACTATCTCTGTAAAAGTGTTATATCATTTGAATAAAAGAGTGTCATATCATGTATTCATTTATAATGAAATAACAATTAAATACATGTATTGCATAATTTAGAACATTTGTATGTACATGTACAAAAAAAAATTATTGCTTTATTCCACATTTACTCAGTCAACAACTAGGTTTTAATTTTAGGTAAAGTTTTGCAGTTTATTTTACATGGATTTTTGTGAAGACCCCAAAACCTCTTCAAAATGTTAAAAATTTCAGTTCATTTTGAGCTTTTTTCCCCTCTGAATGTAATTTTAGTTGGCAGTGCTTTGCATTATCTCTGACCCTATGTTATCAAGTATGAGGGGTCAAGATTTGGACAGTTTAGAATCTACACAACCCCAGGATGCTTCTACATAAGTTTCAGCTTTTCTGCCCAGTGGTTCTTGAGAAGAAGATTTCTAAAGATTTTTGCCTAAATCCATTACTCCTCAACCCACACAAAATGTTACTTTAAAGTACACGGTAATATTTTTAACTTAGTTCTTTCACATTATACAGTAAAAGGCCCTAGACTTAAAATAAATATGCTTTATATAATGCATTTTTACTTATAAAGAAGTGAATACCATTCCACATGGTCTTAATATGTACCACTATTTGGAACTTTAATTACAGGTATGATTGCATGTTCATCCCTGGCACTTTGCATTATGCATGTTTAACTCTTTTATAAAACAAGAGGCCCATGGGCCTTATAGGTCACCTGGGTATTGTGTAACAACTTTCAAACAATTAAATTTGGTTCGTGTTTTAAACCAGAGGCCATGAAAATCACAATTCACAATTTTGAAATAGGCACCATTGCTTATCATAATTATTAACTTAGCTTGCTTACTCTATTTACTTAATACCCAGAGGTAGATCAGAGTAACAAAGAGAAAATGCACTTCCACTTTATACCCAGTTGTGCACCTCACCCCAAAGGAACCACTGACCCAGGGGCCACATAATTCAAAATTTTGCAAATTTTATCATAAAATGGTTGATTAATACCAAAGAGCAGATTTCAAAGCAATCATTTATTTTCAGACTATGTAACTCCCCCCCCCCTCTGACCCAGGGGGCATAAAAAAACCCCACTTTGCTTGATGCACCTTTCTTCATCAAAAATATTTATTCCCTTATATGTTCCCTTGGAACATTGTCATAAAACCCAGAAGCAAAGGAAAATATTTTCAAAGAATGAATGTATTTTTACTATATAATCAATAGAGCCCTGCCCTAACACAAGAACCACTGACCCTGGGGCCATAAAATTCACAATTTTGGAAAAGGCACTCTTGCTCATCATAACTATGTACTTAGTTAGTTCATTTAATACCCAGAAGCAGAGAAGAAGATTTCAAAGAATAATGCATTTTCACTATATAATCAATAGAGCCTAGCCCTAACACCAGAACCCCTGACCCTGGGGCCATAAAATTCACAATTTTATAGGAGGCATTCTTGCTCATCATGACTATGTACTTAGTTAGTTTATCTAATACCCAGAAGCAGAGAAGAGGATTTTCAAAGAATTAATGCATTTTCACTATATAATCAATAGAGCCCTGCCCTTACACCAGAACCCCTGACCCAGGGGGCATAAATTTCACAATTTGGAAAAGGCACTCTTGCTTATCATAACTATGTGCTTAGTTTGTTTATTTAATACCCAGAAGCAGAGAAGAAGATTTTCAAAGAAATAATGCATTTTCACTATATAATCTATATAGCCCCGCCCTAGCAGCAGAACCCCTGACCCTGGGGCCATGAATTTCACAATTTTGGTAGAGGACTCAATGCTCATAACATTCATGCAAACAGTTTGCCTGCTTAATGTCCAGGAGTAAAGAAGAAGATTTTTAAAGATTGCGACAATTTTAGTGGTTTTGGTCCCACCCCTCAGGCCCCAGGGGGGCGGGGACCATGAAATTCACAATTTTTGTTCCCCTTCACCCATAGATGCTGTATACCAAATTTGATTGACATTGGTTCAGTGGTTTCAGAGAAGAACTGAAAATGTACAAATGTTAACACACGACGACAGACAAAAACGGATAGCAATAGGTCACCTGAGTTACTCAGGTGACCTAAAAACATTATTCATTAAAGTCCTTACTTCCAACAAACAGGTCTGGAATGTTCATTAACTCTTGTGACCCATCATCCTCTGATTCTGGCTTTTGTACAACAGGTATATAAACCACGTCAAAACAGGAGTGAAGGAGACAGGGGCATAGACGATCCGTCATCATCTTGTCTACACCCAGACGAAACTCGTCCCGATCGTCACGGGTAAAGTTCATCCCGATAACCTTTCCAGTGGTAGACAATCCAAAATATATGTTGCCTCCTTTTCCTTTAATGACAGAAAAGTATGCTTATTATCTAATCATTTGTTCTGAGATAAACAATATTACCATCTTTTCTCACTTCTATTATAAAAATGTCTAGAATAAGTGTTGACATTACAGCGAATTATGAAATAGTGGTAAAGTTTTCAATAGCTTGCTGGATAGCTCAATAGGGTGTAGAATTTGGTCTAAAAAGTATCACATGAGGTCTGAATCTAGGTCATGGGGTTACTCAGGTGTATCATTAGTTTTTACAGGTAAATGTGAGTTGATTTCAATGTTCTATGAAGCCACATGTATAAGCCAATGTGTTCTGCTGTAAATAAATGCATTATAATTCTTCTTTAATTGCAATTTAATAAATTTGCAGAATTAAAGAATGACATATCCCCCCTTCTCGTAAAAGTTATTGTCTAACAAGATTAGGAAGTTAGGTTCCCACTCCAATTCTCTCTCAACTCATTGATTATAAATAAACACATAAATATAATAATAATATATGTAACACCTAATTTTATAATCATATTAAATTTATTAATTATCAGCATCTCTAAACAAAGTAAATTTCTTTATTCAGTAACTCTATGAAAATCTGTTTAAGCTAAGTGTTTTGCAATTTATTTTATTTTTTACATCATGTAATTAAATTGTTATTTTATACTTTTTATGAAAAAATTAGTAAGATAATTTTATAAAGCAATTAAACTCACAAAATTATTCAGTGATGAGAGTCTAGAACTAAGTTCCTTCTTAAAATGGGCCCCAACAACAGTAAAAATTTGCAACTTTTTGCATAATTATAGTTTGATCCCTCCATTCTCAACCTCCCCAATATTTTCTCTTGTATTTTGTTTTCAAATACTTTTTTAAAAGCTTTTAAAATTAATCTAACAAGATTATAAAATCTTACCAAATTACCACGAGTGACGAGATTTTGAAGAGTACAATTAACAAGTAGTGTATTCAAAGTTTTGGAAATATTCGGATGCAGGATTGAGCAATTTTTAACAGTTTAATCTAAAGCACGTGGTGCTGTTGGTGTTGTTTATTGACAAGAATGAAATTTTTGTCCTAAAGAAAAAATTACCCTCTAATTTGGAATTGCTTGCAGGTCACGGACATAGATTAAAAAGGTGTTTGTTTCGGAAGTGACAAGACTTTAAAGCAAGCAGAAAGTACAGTATGCAGAAGATTTATGCATTACTGAAAGAGTTGGTATAAAATTCTACTGAAAAAAATGTTTGCAATTAAAGAAGAATAATGCATTTATTTACAGCAGAACACATGGGCAGATACATGTGGCTTCAAACAACATTGAAATCAACTCACGTTTACCTGTAAAAACTAATGATACACCTGAGTAACCTCATGACCTAGATTCAAACCTAATGTGATACTTGTTAGACCAAATTCTATTCCCTATTGAGCTATCTAGCAAGCTATTGAAAACTTTACCACTATTTTGTAATTCGCTGTAATACAGTAGAATTTTTTGTCTCTCTACATCTGCTCTGTGAATTTCACATTTGAATGCATACAGAGGTATTCCTTGCAAAATTTGTTTCATACTATTAATGTATTTAGACTGTATGTTATAAAGCATGAGAAACAAAAAAAAAGATTTCATATAAATAAAAAAAAAACTTTACTAGTTACATAGATTGTAAAACATGCAAAGATAAGTCCACAGGAAAAGAAAACTGGCACAGTGAAGATCAATATACCAGTAAGTCAGGTATGTAAAATGAAATAGAATTTGATGTTTTACCACTATTCAGCATCCCACACACATGCTGAACAACTGTGTTCACAGAAATTGTCTGGATGGTCTTGTTTGGCCTCAATTCATTGGTGGGGCTGTTCTGAATGGACACAGTAGAACCTTTAAATGTATAAAAACTTTTTAATTAATAGATGGAAATAATCACCTTTTACCTATTTTTTTCAATTATATACAGTCAAAAATCTCAATTATAAAGGCATTGTCAAATTTTTGTTTAAATATCAGATGCTTTTAAAATATATCAATGTACTCAGGTTGAGACTACTTATTCATCCCTAGAATTATATGTATTGGTGTTACATACGGTTACCAAGCAAAACTGTTCAAAATTCTGTGTACCCACCTAATACAAAGACCTCTTTCTGTTGAGAACTTCTGTATACATCTGCTACATCAACAGCTACAGCAGGTCTATCTACAATACAAGCTAATACTGCTGAAAAAGTCAACTTACAAAGCAAATAGACAGCATATTAAACATACAAATAAGTGCAAAGTTATACTGCTGAAAAGGACAACTTATTAAAAATCAAATACATGTAGAAAACCTAAACATACAAATGAGTGCAAGGTACAATACAGACTAAACTGCTGAAAAGTCGACTGAAAAAGCAAATAGGAAGCCTAAACACACAAATGAGTGCAAAGTGCAAAACATGCTAAAACTACTGAAAAAGTCAACTTACATAGCAAATAAAGAGCTAAAACACATTATAGTACCAAGTACTGGCTAAATTTGCTTTTAAAAAAGGGTCAATTAACAAAGCAAATACGTAGTATAGAGCCTTAACATAAAAGTACCAACCACAATAAAGGAACTGCTTAATACACTGCTAAAAGACACCCATAAAAATAAATGAGTACATGTACCAGGTATTTTGTTGCTGAGCTGACAATTAGTGATATTTTAATTGTCCACCTGAAAAACCTCAGACTTTACTAACCTGTAGACAGCTGGGCTTGTTCTTTCAGCTGGGAGTGGAACAAAGAGACTGGGTGGTTCGTAAGCTCATCATCACTGCTCTCAACCTGTTCATGAAAATAGAAACATTGCCATTTATAACTTAATTCAAACAAGAGGCCCAGGGGCCACAGCGCTCACCTGAGCACATCGGGCTTGAATTTATCCCCCCCCCCTCCAGGCGTTCATCATTTGAACAAATTAGAATCTACACTACCTGAGGATGATTCCATATAAATATCACTAATCATAGCTTTGAAGTACTTGAAAAGAAGATTTTAAAAAGTTTCCCTATATATCCCTATGTAAAACTTGGGTCGGCCATTTTGGCCCCATCCTAGCTCCGGGGATCATGATTTGAACAAACTTGAATCTACACTACCTGAGGATGATTCCACATGAGTTTCATCTTTCCTGGCCCAGTGGTTCTCAAAGAAGATTTTTAAAGATTTTTCTAATATATTCCTATGTAAAACAAGGGTCGGCCATTTTGGCCCCACCCTTGCCCCGGGGGTCATGATTTGAACAAACTTGAATCTACACTACCTGAGGATGATTCCACATGAGTTTCATCTTTCCTGGCCCAGCGGTTCTGGAGAAGAAGATTTTTAAAGATTTTTCTAATATATTCCTATGTAAAACTTGGGTCGGCCATTTTGGCCCCACCTTTGCCCCGGGGGTCATGATTTGAACAAACTTGAATCTACACTACCTGAGGATGATTCCACATGAGTTTCATCTTTCCTGGCCCAGTGGTTCTTGAGGAGAAGATTTATAAAGATTTTTCCTATATATTCCTATGTAAAACAAGGGTCGGCCATTTTGGCCCCACCCTTGCCCCAGGGGTCATGATTTGAACAAACTTGCATCTACACTACCTGAGGATGATTCCACATGAGTTTCATCTTTCCTGGCCCAGTGGTTCTGGAGAAGAAGATTTTTAAAGATTTTTCCTATATATTCCTATGTAAAACTTGGGTCGGCCATTTTGGCCCCACCCTTGCCCCGGGGGTCATGATATGAACAAACTTGAATCTACACTACCTGAGGATGATTCCACATGAGTTTCATTTTTCCTGGCCCAGCGGTTCTGGAGAAGAAGATTTTTTAAAAATGCCATTAATTTTTAACAAATTCATGATTATCTCCCCTTGAAAAAGGGCGCGGCCCTTCATTTGAACAAACTTGAATCCCCTTCACCCAAGGATACTCTGTGCCAAGTTTGGTTGAAATTGGCCCAGTGGTTCTTGAGAAGAAGATGAAAATGTGAAAAGTTTACAACGACGACAACAACAACAACAACGACAACGACAACGACGACAGACGACGGACAAATTTTGATCAGAAAAGCTCACTTGAGCCTTCGGCTCAGGTGAGCTAACAATATTGCATTATATATATATATATTTCTTATCTGTACAATGCTTCAAATTACTTTTGTACAAAAGAATACCAGGTAGCATGATGTCCTTGTCAGGATGTCCGATGTACAGTGTATCTTGAGCGTTTATTTTAATTTTTTTTGTCCAAAATGTTTATGGACAATTGAGTTTCTTTAAAAATGAAATCTATAAACAGTTTAAACAAAAATAATAAGCATGATTTACTTCTTGAGGTACATGTATTATCATCAAACCTCCTGAAATCTGGACTCATCCACAACCTTCTCTATAGCTTTTGGTTTCCATATAAACTTGCTGTTTTCATCCTTTTCTTCAATGACTTTCGACATAACCCTATACATGAGGACCAAAATCAAAAATAAATCTAACACACATGGTAATGTTTAAAAATGTATTACTCAAACAAAATACATCAATATGAACAAATCAAGAAGTTTATTCTTACAATGGGGTATCCCGACTTAGTTTTAATTTCTCTCCTTTCTCAAAGCTAGGCTGTTTCTTTATCACATTATCCTTTATATTCCTCTCCAGTGCCTTGCAGATAAACATTTTGATGCATTTGGTAGCTGCCTTATATACACTGTGATTTCTACCATTCAACAAGGAGACCTTTAACACAGCTTCCATACCTAGAAATTAAATGAACACTGGCTCCTCAAGTTTGTACATTTTAATTTCTAGAGAATTTTCCTTGAATTGCTGAAGTGTCTTGGAGACTTTTTGACTGTTAAGTGTGATTACCTTGGAACTGGTAAAATATGGACCTGTTAACATCATTATAATGCATCAGATTGCACAGTGTTCTAAGACAGGCCAACAGGAGTTCATTCTTTTTTGTGGAAGGTTTCATTTCAAAGTACTCCTGTAAACAGTCTACAAAATAAAAACCCCAAAGTCGTATTTCTTTCTGTATGTCTGTATCACTAGATTTTGTATTCAACAAATTTACTGGCCCCACATTTCAAACACAGACGACTATTATTTTCAACTGAGACTATTTTACACTACTTGCAAGTTAAGATATGATCGAAGATTTGTTGAGTATGTTTCTTACAAAATAGTTATAACTAGTACTATTGGTAGACACTTCACTCTGCTTCATAATTTTATTCTTGACTGTTTTCCTGAATTCACATCTCAATTCACAGCTTTCATACAATGTATCAATGGAATGGACTTTTCTTCTTACCAATCATAACAGGGATAAACTGGTTCTCTGCACATTTGCTGGAGATGGCTGGGATACAGGAGAGGTTACACAGTAACTGACAGGTCTGTAGTTTTAATTCCACATTAGGACAGGTCTTCAGGAAAGATAAACACACCTCTAATCCACCCAACTGCTGAAGCAGGTGCCCTGTAATCAATGAACTGGTATTTTAGATTTACCATCCAGAAATTTCCTTTGTCAGTGGAGAAAGTTACACGGTTTTAAAACTTTTTTTTTTTTTTTACATAACCATAAATAGTAATTTAAGAAAGTGCATAGATGAATTTTCAGTGGAGAAAGTTACACGGTTTTAAAACATTTTTTTTTACATAACCATAAATAGCAATTTAAGAAAGTGCATAGATGAATTTTCTCAGTCATTCAATAAATGATTATCTGGTACATGTAGGTATCACCAGTATTATCACTATATATTTCATAGATTACAAGTACCGTAGTTATAAAGCAATTCCAAATGCTTTTCTTAATGGGAGTTTTATAAGAAGTATCATCAAAAATATCTATCTGATTAAAATCAGATTTTTGTTATGCTCCCAAATTCTGACGGTCACTGTACAAAGATCTTTGTATAACGACCATCAGAATTTCTGAGAGTAACATAGATCTGATTTTAATCAGATTGCAAAAAGCACTTCAATACATCAAATTAATGCACAGCAGGAAGATAAAAAATAGACTTAACACAGAAATGATCAGTTATAATAAACAATACCTACACATGTACCATTTCAATTCACTTCTTTATAACCTTTTTATGTGTATAATATATTAAAGATGTATTATATGCACCATGACCATGTTATGCATGGATTAAAAAACTGGCTTTGCATAACAACCTGTTATTAATTTCTTATTAACAGATGGCTATACCTGCTGGAAAGGACCGTTTGACAAGGTTACACAGTATGGCTAACCCAGTCCCCACAGCCGTCTCACTATATGGGGGCTGCTGTAGACCTATCAAAGAAAGGGAAGAACATCAGTGTACATCTACAGTTACATGTACTGTACAAACTGACAGCCTGAACTGAATACAGTAAAACATGTCTATAGTATAGAGACCACTGGTTTCATAAAAATTGGCCAGATTTTGGCAAACATTCCAGATTCAGGCAGCATTTTATACAAAGAGACTTGTGGAATTTTTAAAGTCTCCTTCAACACATTTATGAAGATGTACAAAAATGATCAAATTTTAAAACTTATATGTATGAAATATATGAAGTTTCACTGAATAAATTTTTTAACTTTAACTAAATAATGAAATCCATACCATCAATACAGCACAGAGAGGCCTGTGGAGGAAAAACGTCCAGCTGAACCTCACACGGTAAAACAAATACATTCTTTCTGTCCACAGTTAGCATCTGTCCAAAGTCAAGAGCCCATGCATGAACTCCCCTTGCGTTCACTTCCTTCACTGTGACCCGAATTGGAGAAACCTCATTGTTGATGACCTGCAGGACCACCACATTGTCCCCCTTTATACATTTGTAATTTTCTAGTGCTCCATTTTTCCAATACACATTCAGTATGGCTTGGATCTTCTGAGCATTCTGAATGGTATCTATCCCTATCTGTGCCCAGAAAACGGGTCCTTCTACAACATGGGTGATTAATATGTCTTTCCAATCCTCATCATCATCTGTAAGTAAATTAAAGGACTTATTGCATACTTTCAAAATCTATCAAGTTATATGGATTTTAACTTCTTTGAAACTATAGTAATTAAATCATCTAATTTTTTAATTATAAATTTACACATGTATGAAAAATCCAGTTAATTAGGTAGGGGTGTCAAATTACTGTGATCAAATCCCTTTCAATAGAAATATTTCACAAAATTTATTGCAAAAGAACAAACTATGCTGATTTATGAAATTCCATGCTTTTTAACATTCATGCTATATGTTAATTTCCTCCATGTCTGAATGTTCAGGAAAGCAGTTTACAAATTAAAAGAAAACAGACATTCAGATTGGTCAAAAACTGAAAAATATAACTTACAACCACTGACCTGCATTAACACATTTAGTATATTTTAATTATAAATATGAAAAATTTAGGCTTACATTTTCAAATTTCTTAATTAAATCCATATCATAGGATTAATTTACAAAATCATTCAAAAGTAAAAAGTATCTTATTTCTGAAAATGTAACAAGCTTTTGGGGGTCATGCTTTTTGTATAATTTCTTTTTATTCATGGGCAAATTCAAAATCACAGGCGCTTGACGTTTTTTAAACTTTCTTTTCAAAAATAAAAATATCCCCTATACTATAAATATAGTAGAGGGGATATTTTTATTTATGAAAAGAAAGGTTAAAAATGTCAAGCACCTGTGTTCAAAATGTTTCATTTATAAACCAAAATTTGACCACAACATGTGTAACACAACATTCATGAATCATACAATGTACACCCCTTAGATTAGAAAGTTAAATGGAGCTTGAAGATTGCCTCTTCAACTTACTGAATTCTATTGGATGAGACAGCAACTAAACATAATGATAAGGTATCTAACCTGTTTTGCTAGGTCTGACAAATTTAGTATCAGCCCAGGCTAAGTTCCTACTCAGAAGATGTTCCCTGATGTTCAGTCCTCCTTCGTAACCCCCCGAATCAACAACATCACATACATACACATTTTCTGGCAGAGAAGGAAGGGATGACAGCTGATCTTTGATTGTCCCATATACTCCATCCCACTGGTCAGTTTTTAAGTTATTTGTGTAAACTCGACCAATCAAATGTTTATTTTCACACATCTTCTGAAGATTTAATTTAACACTGGGTAAGTAATGGTAAAAGGCCCCTTTTTGGTCAATTAGCTGTATCATTCTTTTTATCACTTGCTCACAGATGAGTGGTTGGACTGGGCTCACTGGAAGCTCTGAGAGGAAGAAGATGCAATTCAAAGACACATCTAGATACACCAGGTCTCTGGGGTTGTCAAAGCCCTTGTCAAAAGTCAATAGCAACGATTCTAAGATTCCCTGCTGCAAAAATGACAGTTTGACCTCGCCCTTGGGGTCATTTTTGAGAAATTCTTGCAGAAGAGTTAATCCGGCTAGTTTCAGCATGCTATGTTCTTCCATAGCTGCTAATGACATTAAGTTCTTTAACAGTCTGTACGGCACTTCAACATTTAGATCCGTCATGATTCTGCCCTTTTTTAATTAACTTGATTCATAAAAATCTGAAATGTTAAAAATAATAAATTATATAAGCATGAAATTAATCATTGTAATTTTAAGTGTTGTTAAATTTTACAATGTCTCTGATCTACCAATATCAAAGATTTGCAATATACATGTATCATGCAACCTTCATGATTTTAATTAAAAAGCAAAGTCTCTAGGTACATGTATCTATAATCACAGTGACAAAGGACTGCTGATCCAGCTGACTCTGATATTGTCAGATTTACATTTTATTCAGTCCTTTGGACCCTGCATGTCCACATGAATTTATTCCCAGTATAAGACTTAACCCTTTCCTGATACATACTGTAAATGTATAATATTAATTGTGTACAATATTTGGAGGAAATGATTATTTTTGAACAGGTTAGCAAAGATTTGATTTCCTTTTGTTCTTATCTATATATCTACATATGCAAAACATTTAGCATTGTACTTGAATTAGTGGATGTTGCTTTCTGCAAAAAGCGTTAAAAAGAATACACAGCTAAATGTAATACATTTACAATACATGTACTTCATATTAAGACTGGCTGAAGAAAAAAGTGAACATTTTAGTAACTCAAGTTGGGGTTTTTCTTCCAATACTGCAATCAGTTTCACTCCAAAATTTCAAATACCTGTAGCTTAGACTGTAGAGGAATGAACTTTTTTGTAGTTAATTTGACAGAGCTATAGGGCTTAATAGTCAACATGAATACACTGTATTTTAAAATAATATGTTTGCTGCCTAGATGATTCATTTTAAAACATATTGTATAGGGCAGTGATTAAGTTAATAATTCTTGAGTGAAGAGCTGAATTTATCCATTTTTTAGGCTCAATTCAGAAATTATTACCTATAGATTATGTTGCAAATTACAAAAAAAAAATTGAAGCAGTGAATCAAAATTATTGAACAAGTTAAAAATCACAATACCACCACCCTCCTTTATTGAAAACTCTAGATTATGTTGCAAATTACAAAAAAAAAAATTGAAGCAGTGAATCAAAATTATTGAACAAGTTAAAAATCACAATACCACCACCCTCCTTTATTGAAAACTCTGCTGTTTTTTTTTCAGTCCTAGCCTATTTTAATGAGCTTTGAAATTGAAATATCTAATCGAGCTTTGAAATTGAAATATCCTTTTTTTTTTCTTTTTTTTTTCAACCATGGCCAGAATTTGAGGGAATCATATATATTGGTCATAGTTTCATGTTTGTGATAATGGCTTAATCAAGAAGCCCCTGAATGAAATTAACAAACAATATGTAGACACAGTATGAAACTGTTTATCTTCAAATGAACACAGTTACCTAGCTCTAATCAAGTTCAGAAATTATATCTTATGGAAGGGAACAACAATCAGGCAACCTCAAAAAGTTAAAAACAGCTCCGATTCTCAAACACTATTACTTTTTAGGATGGGGTTTCAAAATTTTCAACTTTAGATGTATAAAAATTTCCATATCATAATTGACCCTCTAAGGGTTTGATTCTTTTAGAATAGGCCTATCTTAAATTGCAATGAAGTATTGCAACAGAACTTAGCTTTATTGGTTCCTTGTTGATCAAAATATTTCAGAAATTTGAAAGTCATTTTGGCTCAAACTCAGTGTGACACTATATATATAAGGATGGCAGTTTCTGCGTCTCAAGGGGTGGCGGCATGTCTTATAAGAAATGGAGATAATTTTTGCATGCAGTTCTTGCCTGGTCTAATTTTGGCACAAAATTTGCAGCTTACCTGTGATTAGAACAAGTTTTTGTGTGTGTGTCAACCCAGAGGTTTGCTATGCTAACGCATAGCTCATGGCTTGCACAATCGAGTAATTTTATTGACTTTATGGATAAAATTGCTAACTCCTCACCTGTAGTTGAATGGATGTCCAGGAAAATTACTCTATAGATACATGTAGCTATATATCTATTTTTAGCTATATAGGTATTTAAACCTATCGTAAACATATCATTGGATATCTCATGTGTTTGTTTTGGCGGTGGTAGAAACTATGGGCAGCGGAAAGGGCAAAAATTACCATAATGAGAAAACAAACAATTATTTTAATTTCAATGACCATAAAAACTTTACAAATGATATACAATGCATAACCAATAGACTTTTTCGCAGAACAAATATACATTAAAGCAAAATCAACGACCATGTACGTAACAAACATATATGAATGCAAAACCAATGATCATCTTTGCAGAACAAACGTACATAAAAACACGACAAGCGAAAAAAACTTAACAAACGTGCAAGCGGTAAATCTAGTCTTCCCGGCTCCCGACGGTCCCGTTTTTTTTTTTATTTCTTTTTTGTCGGTGCACAGAAAAGCTTGAAACTTCTAAGGCACATTTTCTTTTTAGATGAATTTAATGATATGTAAAAACTTAAACAAATTTGCGTATTTATTACTGAATCAGCAGTATCACCTGCCAAAAAGCGGTAAATGTAGTACTTCGTTATAAATATAAAAACCAAAAAACGGACATCGATACAGATCGAGACGTAAGGTGTCGTAGATATTAAAGGTTTGAAGTAAATATTTTCTATATAGTATTACGACTTTTATATATTAATAGCATTTCACACAAAAATATATTAAAAATCTTATTTCATCTCAAAGTTATTAAAACTTTTTAGACGGGTTTGATTGACACATCCTTGCACTCTCACAAATTTTAATATTATTCCTAAAACTTAGGAAAAGTGGCAATCTTGTTTCAATAACTTTAAGATGAAATAAAATTAACTTCAAATCTGTGTCCATGTATGTTTAAAGATATAAGAAATATTGATAGAGAGAAGATATTTCTTCTCAGAAAGATGGAGTTAGTATTTCAGTGAAAAGTGGTGGTGTTAGTAAAAAAAAAATGAACATTTAAATTCTATAAAAATTCATAACATCAAAATGATTGTATTTCAAAAAAGATTTTAATCAAAAGTTTCATAAAAATAGCTAAATTTAATATTGTAATTATGGTAAAACAATGCAAAATGAAAGTATTGCATTGTTATACATTGACATAGCATCATTTTTGAAAGGAGGGGGCAACCAGAGAAAAAAATTCAATCTAGCTGAAAAAAAGATTTTAAAAACTTGACATGCAAAAACAAAAAGGAAGCTAAAATGAAATAGCCTAAACTCAAAAATACTATTTTGTGTGTGTGAGTGAGGGTGTGTGTTGGGGGTGGGGGTGGGGTGTTAGGTTCAACTTCTTTCAGTACCAATTTTTTTCCTGATATACATGTACTACATAACTCTTAAAATTTTGACCTTGCTCTTAAAATTGGGAAATGTTGCTGTGTGCCAGTCATATATGTCACTGTAAAGTTATCTTAATAGATTCTTGCAATATTTAAAGAATTAGGGAAAAGCAATTTATGTTACAAAAAAAGACGAAACGGCCTTCATGAGAATGAGATATTTTTATGTAATTTTTTTTCTTTCATTTGAAATTTTTAGATAAATCAACCGAAAAAAAATAGAAAAGATTTTCTGTACACCGACAAAAAAGAAATCGAAATTAAAAAAAAAAAAAAAAAACAAAAACAAAAAACAAAAAAAAACAAGAAACTAGACCGTCGGGAGCCGGGAAGACTAGATTTACCGCTTGCACGTTTGTTAAGTTTTTTTCGCTTGTCGTGTTTTTATGTACGTTTGTTCTGCAAAGATGATCGTTGGTTTGCATTCATATATGTTTGTTACGTTGGTTTTTCTTTAATGTATATTTGTCTGTCCGAAAAGGCGAAAAGGTCTGTTGGTTATGCATTGTATATTTGTTAAGTTTTTATGGTCATTGAAATTAAAATAATTGTTTGTTTTCTCATTATGGTAATTTTTGCCCTTTCCGCTGCCCATAAGAAATGCGGGAGATTTCCAACATGGTAATTTTTTTTTTACATCAATCAGGACTTACCACAGGCACCTGACATTACTTATTTTATTTTTTATTAAAAGAAAAATAATTAATGTCAGGTGCATGTGGACCCATAACATTATATAGCAAATGATACCATTCATAAGAGCCCCTTTTTGATAATATAGGTCGCTATAATATTGATGTGACAGAGAATGAAAAATCCTCGAGTAAGGTTGAATTTTAAGACATATGTAGTAAAACTTAGCCAGTTAGCTGCAATAATCTAGCCCTCTCTCTCTCTTTTTTTTTTTTTGGGGGGGGGGGAAATATCAGATTAAAAAAAGTCGGGGAAGGCTTCATTATTGCATCTTAGTAAAACTATGAATGAAAATTGAATATGCTTAAAAAAGATCACCGACTGGTTAGATCACAGACGCTCCATCAATGATCAAGAAGAAGAAGACGAAGAATTCCTACACCGGAAATGAAAGTTCGAAACTAAATAAATGAGTCGGAGGAGGGCGAATCTGCATTTCGGGATCGATTTCCATGGAAGCTTAGACAGTGTTAAAAATACAGTTTTACTTTACGATAGTAAATGTTAAAATAATGAAGACGGTGGTCCATGTAAGGTTTTAAAATGTATTCATTAAAGAAGTGAGCATTTAAAGATGAACAATGGTGATTATTTTCAGGTGATGAAGGGCATATGTTATTGTGGAAGTTCAAAAAAATTAGCTGCTTTATTTTATTTAATTTGTAGAATTTAAATGATAAGAATAAATCAGTAAAATTAATACATAAATATTTTTATTCATTTATTTTTACTGAAATACATAGTTCATTAACCTATCTTATAGGCAAAGGAACTTCACAAGTGGCAAAAGCAGTCATTGGTGCACCCTATGTTTTGAAGAGGTGTAATGAATGAATAGACAACATGCATAAATCGTTAATTTATGGTGGGAAAACATTTATTATATTAATAAATATAGAAGTAATATGATGAATAAAAATGTATGGATATTTAAGAAGTCATACATAAACTATATTTTTCATTAACTTTTATTTTTAGAAATTACTTTTCATGCAGTTGTCCAAAGCATTAACTTAATTCATTTTCTTCTTCTTCCCATTGGACTATTTCACAACCTACCTCTTCTCGCTCTTCACCTGCACCTCCCCAGTCCAGTGACATAGCATTGTTTTTTAAAGGGGCAACCCCAGAAATTTCTTTTTTAACTTACCTGAAAAAATTGACAAGTAAAAAAAAAAGGGGTGCCAAAACTGCATCACCCTTAGGCCTATATTTTCCTTATTTGACAAATGCAACCAAGAGTGGGGGAGCTAACCAGACTTTCAATAAACTTTTCCTATAGAAAAAAAACATATCTTGAAAAAAAGTGTCCCCCATTAGCTGCAGATCTGTAGCTCTCCGAAAAAATAATTTGACAGACCGGTCTATCAATATATTTTTCGGAGAGCTACAGTTCTGCAGCTACTCCCCCATCTGATGTTACGTGCCTGCTGTCAAGTCCTCTGATACTGAATCCACATCTAAAATTCAGCATGTGAATAACCCGTCCCCACAGCCTTAAACTTCCTTTTCATCACTACCCTCAACTAACTGTCTTTCTACAAATTTTATTTGGCCAAAAAGAGAGAGAAAGACAAGAGCAAGCAGACATCATCTTTCAACACTGGACTCGAGAAACGCGTGTCTGTCAGAGGAGGAGAGGACTACTGGGTCGGGTGTGACCATAAATCCAAAATGCCAGTACTGGGTTTATGACAGGTGATAGTGGTGTTCTCTATAGAAAATCTAAAAAAAAAATTACCCTAGATATAGTTGAGTTAGTAAAATTGATCTAAAGAAAAAAACTCAATCATGATATACGTGTACGGACAGATACAAAATACCTTTTCACAAGAAAAATTTGATAGAACATGATGGAATACATGTACTGGATTATTGTTGAAATGATTTATGTCAATTATTAATTGTATAATTGTTTGCTTTTTTTTCTGTATTCATTTTTTGTATAATTGTTTGCTATTCACATACTTGTCTGTTATGGGCTCTATATTAGAAATAAAATGTTCTGTTCTGTACTGTAGTTGTACTGTAATTCATCCTTGGACTTTCAATGAGGCTTGTTGAAATTCGCCCGAATTTCTATCCCATTTATATTTCAACAGTGAATGAAACGCTGTGTAAATTTCAGACGCTAATTATGTAATGTCGAGCCACACCGTCCTGAAAGTCTAAGGATAACAAAGAATTGTACTACCGTATTTCATATCCGACATTGTTTTTTTTTCAATTCCAACGTTTTTTTCTTTCATTTTCGGAGTTTTGCGCGATAAATTTCTGAAAATTTAAGGTTGATTGATCAGGAAATGGAATTTATTTAAAACCATGCACATTTTCAAAATGTATCTAACAATTTGATTCCAAATTTAAACAGAACATATGAAACGGAGATCAGAGAAAGTTCACAACACATTCAAGTGCTTAATGGAAAGAAAAGATAGCTAAGCAAAACCCATAATTTGGATTTCAATGATGTATTCTTAAGAACGTTTTTAAGTGAAGTCTTCAATCTTGCTTTCATTGACGAAAAGTATTACCTGAAAAATGACTACTAGTATGTCGTAGAATGAAAACTTTAATATGTCGGAATTGAAAACTATAAAATTATATGTTGGAAATGCAACTTTAAAAAAGTATTTTTAAAAATTCCGGAAATGAAATGCAGCCCACCAACCGCAAAAAATATTTTAATTGCATGGGGTGTTTTGTTTTGTTGTTTTTGTTTAATTTTAATTACATATCACAGTTGCGATTTTTACAACCAAAGATGTGGTTTTTTCATTTATACAAAACAATAAACATTCAAATAAATACTAGTACCATATATAAATATAAAACAAAAGCAGTGAACGAAAGGCTCTCATTTTGTGTAAACAGGTTTTGCGTCCAATAAAATGTGACTATCACACTACTGGTAAAAGTTCTTATGACTGCGTGAACAAACCATTATACATTAAGACAATAAATTATGAGGACAGTGTCAAATACATGTATACATGTTTTCAAGAAAATGCTTTCTTAAGTTTTCCAGAGTTAGCTTGAACCCATTCCTCGAAACACTTGATACGTAATGAGGAACCTAATCGTTGTGTAGCGTCCACGTTAAACCTTTGGTCGACACGAAGGTAAAAGTCAAACATATTAGCGTAGTCCTGAGACCAAGGGAACTGGGCATTCAGCTGCTGGTACTCATGTATGGTCACCTATGGCAAAAAAAAAAAAATTAAAAGCACATTACTTACATGTGCAACTCAAACACATATATACTGAAACCCATACAGACAAAAGGATTCCAATTTCAGTAACTTGCACATTAAGAAAACACGTATAAAAATTAGTGAGATTTAAAAAGAGATACATGTAATTGTACTCTACCAAAATTTGAATTTTTCAAATAAAATTTGTATGACAAATTTTAATTGAAAAATTCAAATTTTTGTAGAGGACATAATGCAAAGGAAAAGGGGATATCCATGCTGCAAATGCACAATGCTCTTTGGAAATAATTTCATATGGAGAAGGGCAAAATAGTCCATATTATTATACCTCATTGTAAATATTATAAACAATGCGTTATCTGATTTCTAAGTTATCACGTGATCGGGCCGTAAAACTTCTTATTATATAGTCTATTTATATTCCCTATATAATCTATACAAACGCAAACAGTTCATAACACTACATATTCACCGGATTTTAGGCCGTATTCACCAGAGGGGCAATGCGCGTGCAACGGCATTGTGACGTCACAATCAAAATATCAAACAACGTTGTAAACAATGGTTGCAACGGCCGCAGCGAGCTACGTATCTGAGCAGGAAAACAATTATTCAAACCTATTTCAGGATTATTTTTTGACATTTACACTGAGTTACGCATAGCGAAACTCAGAAAGGAAAACACGGAGGTTAGAAACAGTAATATGGAGACTTTTTTTATTTTCAACAATGGAAGTTCGTAAATTAAACTGGCGTCGTCATTCAGCATTCAATGTCTTATCTATTCGAATTCGGACTATATAATAAAACAATTATGGACTCTTTTGGTGTTGAATATGGTTTGTTATTCACCAGAAAAATATCCATATTGACCTCGGCTTCGCCTCGGTCAATATGAATATTTTTCTGGTGAATAACAAACCATATTCAACACCAAAAGAGTCAATAATTGTATAATATTTCCCGGCCGTCGGCATGCTTTTCATCATATTCCACCTCTTTAGTGCATTTTCCCGCAAAACTTATCGTTCGTTTAAAGAAAACTCCCGAGAGTATAGTAGACGTCACAATAACCTGGTTTACGTCATAGAATTGATAATAATGTGTTGACCAAAGAGTTTTAGTAACGTTTTGTAACTTTTGTTAGAAATGAAAGTGAATTTGAGAGCAGTTTATGTTTATTTGAAAGGTTTTGATTGTTTCGGTATAATAAACAATTCATTGCATGAATGTTCGGGAAACATGAAGACTTATTCAGCCAAGAAATACCATATTCCCCTCGGGCGAAGCCCTCGATCAGGGAATATGATTTTTCTTGGTTGAATAAGTCTTCATGTTTCCCTCACTATCATGCAATAAATGTATAATATCTGACGTTTTCCAGGCTTGTTACAGTTTTCATATTTTACGCCTGGCACATAGCTGACGTAAAATATCAAAATTGTTAGAAAAAAAAATACTGGAACACGTCGGATATTTCGGACTATGGCAAAATTATTTTAAAAAAACATCGGGTTGGGGGCGTTCTTAATGATCAACAATAGATTTCTGTTTAGTAAATTGAAAAATGATATTTGGGAGAAGCTACCAGCCCCCCCCCCCCCCCCCCCCCCCCCGAAAAAAAATATATCAGTGTCTGCCATGACGGTCTGGGCCTGTCATGAACATTTAATGAGATTTTTTTATGAATTTTTAAAAGTAGTGGTAATTAATACCTGTCTGTCTTGGAAATACAGAGGAGATAGATGACGAGACAAGATTTGTGCCATCTCTTTAATGGTTTGCTTGTCGCCACACACGCTATGTGTTTTATGCAGGTGCCCGGTCCTGTTATTCAAGATGACGCGTACAATGTCCCCTACGTCATCAACGCTGATCATGTCCAATGGTGTAATTCCCATCGGAATGGCTGAAAAAATGGCATTAAAATATTTAATTATTAAAAACAAAAAAGAAAACATGTTAAAAAATAATAATGAAGAATAGCATAAAACAAAATGAAATCGGACATTTTGCATCAAAGTGGAAAACAATATTTATTTCAAAATATTCCTCCATAAAAGCAAATCTTTCAGTCGTCAAAACTTTGGTTATAAAAACCAATCGATAGATTTTCAGACTTAGACGAATCGATTTCATCAAGCTTGTGCTTTAAAAAGTTTAAATAATCAAAGCATTTGTGATTTCTAAAGCTAAATAACAACAAATGCTTGTGGCATGGGAAGTCAAGTATAGATACAGAAATGGCTAATCGTTATCAGTAATATTCTCAAAATACAAAATGCATTACATTGTATACATTTATTGACTTGGTTCATGGGCAACGTGCGTTTTATCGGACCCAAGAAACAAACTGTGCTTGAGGCCGTTAGGCCTAAGTCAAACAATTTGGTTCGTGGGGTCGACTAAATGCATTTTGCCCGAAAACACAATCAATAAAATATTAATGTTTTGTTATATCTTTTTATTCTGACATATCATGGTGTAAATTTCGTATAGATTTAGTCCATTCCGTGAAGTTCTTACGAACTTTAACAAACGCAAATAAGATATAGCTAACCCTGTCCACCCCTGACGTAGGCGGTCCAATATCTCATCGACAGGTCCAACATCTCACTCTGCGGTCAAACATGGGACTTTTTAGGACCGCTCAGTAAAACATTGGATATGTGGGATTTTTTAGCAAAAAAATTAAATATTATGAGAAACAATTTTTAAAGGTGTCACATTGTTTTTCTTAGTAGACGCATTGGTACCACCTACCCAGCCATCTGTTATTCTGTCCAGCTGGTAGCGGTCTGAGAATGTCGAGGAGATCATCATAGAGAGTAGGCACCAATAATGAAGTTAATGGAACTCCCTTTCCTTTCATATACGCCTCTACTTCGGCCTTGGCCACCAGATGGCGGGCTCCAATGCCAATAATTTTAATGGTGTGAAGACCTGTGTTGAACACAACATGCGATACCTTACTCTTTGCACATGCATCAGCAATGTTCATTCCTTGTCGAATTTCGTCGTCCATGAAATCAGGGTTATTGAAATTGGAAACAGTCGTTACAAAAGCACAGTCACAGCCAGAGAGTGCCTGGCTGATGCTTCCAACGTCCTCCAAATTGCACTGAACCACCTGAGCACCACTGGCACGAATTTCAGAGGAATATTGACCGGAACCATCCGGGTCCACGGCTTTGACCATGAAGTTACTGTCTTTTGCTAAACTCTTAGCAACTGCTGCACCAAGGGCGCAATTGGCGCCAAAAACGGCGACAATTTTTGACATTCTTAAAAAAGAAAAATATTTTCATTCAGTAAGTTATGCAAGTTAAAACATTGTTCTTCCTTTGTATACGCAGTTACATTGCATATCTTTATTCAAAACAAAGTCAAAGAAGAATACTATATAGTACTTATAAAAATATTGCAATAATCTGAATGAGGTAATTTTCAGCTATAATGTTGAGAGTTTCCTCAGGTAAACAACACCTAGTGAATATGTACAAATATTTACCTGTTACTTATTTACAAGTATCGTATTCTTATTTGGTTACAACAATGCTTCTCGTATGTGGTAAGAATTATCAGACTCTCAATACACACGAGGGCTTTGGAATAAATATGTAAATAGTTTAAATCTTGAGTGGATTAATCATTAATCTTCACAAAATCGTTAAAAGTTAGCTGTCAACCGACAAGTAATATCACGTATGCTAGACAGATTGAGATTTTAAATCTAAGTCGCGTACGTGTTCCAATGATCTTTGCATGTGTTTTCTACGGGTAATGTGTATTCCAATTTAATTATTGAACCTGCACTTACTCCTCAAAGTAAAATAAAAATTAAATGTCTGTGAATAGCGATATATTTGACTGTAAATTATCTGTTTTAAAAGAAAATTTTGAAGATGCCTTACCTGGTTAATTTGCAATGACACACGGCTCTATGGAATATTTAAAGTGTGTATTGGAGAGTCGTTCATGTCACTTCGTCGTAGAATGGGATTAAACAGTGGCGTGTAGCAACGCCGCACTGCGCAGGCTCTGGTTTTATCCTCAATAGATTTACTCGTCTGAATCGATACTAAAATTGTTTTTTGGAATAATTGTTAAAAGTGAATGAACTTCGACTCCTTTCAGTCGTCTCAATGCGTATATATCTTTCCTGTTTCCTAACTTTCCTTAACTAGATTTGTAGTACCAAAAAAAAAAAAAATAGATGTTTCGTTCATAGAGTCATTGTTGAATTGACTCGAGCATATGTAAAGGTTTTTTTTGGAACTCGTTTAGTTCTATTTTTTAATTTCCCAAAAGTCGTGAGCAAAGTCTTAATTTTGATACCAAAACTCCGTTTTCAAATACATGTACATGTATATCTGATGATAAAGTAATTAATAGTTTTATGATTTCTAAAACGCTTTAGAATTATAATACTTATTGATTTTTCAAATTTAAAAAATCGTATCTCTGATATCAGAGACATTTTTTATGTTAAAAATGGAATTTTTAATTCAGTAATTGATAAGAAAAAAGTTCTAAAAATATGAGTTCTTAATTCCAAACAATCATTTTCTGATACCAGAAATTTCTCGGTATCTCGTTCTAAAAATTTCAGCTACTGTGGCGCCACCCTACCCCTTGGGTCATGATTTGAACAAACGGTTTATGCAAGCTATTCCCACTTTCTGAAAATTGGGTAGAAAAAGGTGAAATTTCACGTGGGAGTAGGTGGAATTTTGTGTAAACAAATAATTAACTATGTTCTTAAATTTAGGTACTAAGTTGCTATTTCTTGTAAGATCTTTTTATTACTTCAAAAATCCAAAATAAATCATATTTTCTCATAGATGTATTCATTATTTTCTGTCTTTAAATGTACAAAATACAGGTAAATCTAAACATCTATTGTTATTTGCAAGTGGGAATATTGAGATTTTTAAAAAGTGGGAATAGCGAGTTTCATTCACACTACCAGTATGGCTTTACATTAATATGACTTATATCATGACATTGCTGTTTTTAGTAGAATTTTTTTCCAGTTTTCAGATTTTCCCTATTTGATTAGTATGTAAAACTTCGATTACCCATTGTGCCCCTAACCCCCCCCCCCCCCCCCCCCCCGTGGTTCTGACCTAAAAAAAATGAATCTACCTTTTCTGTGGATGCTTAGAAAAAAAATATTCTGATCATGCATTTCTTTACTGTTCTCCACCATCAATATTTTTTTAAAGATCCTATATTTATTCAAGTCAAACTTTGCTCGCCCATAGCTACGTACGTTGTATCCCCAGGATCATTATTTGAACAAAGTCGAATTTACATTATATCTGAGGATAGGACTGAACATGGCTTTGCTATCATGCTTAAGGATTTTTTTAAGGGACTTTTTACTCATGTAAAAAGTTGATTGCACATAGTGGCCCCAATCATTCCCGGGGGGGGGGGGTTGTGATCTGAACAAATCTGAATTTACCTTTACTATATGAATGTTTTGATGTAAGTATAACTGATCATGCTTGGTGAAGATTTTTCTACCCCTGTACATACATATGCATTCCCATGTAAAACAGTTATTGTCCATAGTGGCTCCACCCTACCCTGGTTCGTGATTTTAACATGGATTTACAAGCACTTTGTCAGGTAAAAGACCGCAATTGTCAGTCTTATTTATCTTCCCTTGGAAAAGGATGTGAACTTTCATTTCAACAAACTTGAATCTCCTTTACACGTTGAAATTGACCCAGCAGTTTGGGGAAAAAGGTGAAACTTGAAAAGTTAACGACGACGACAAACAAGGACGACAGACTACGAACAAAGTTTGATCAGAAAAGCCCACTTACAGTGTTTAAGCACTCAGCTCAGCTCAGCTAAATATTGAGGGGGGGGGGGGGGTCAGACATGTAGAATCTGGGTTTCGATACATTACGTTTTTTCTATATAGTTGAATCATTATTTATGAATGAAATGGTTATCAATGGTTATGAATTAAAGAAGTTAATTGGAATACCTTTCCCTTTCTTCTAGGACTTTGAAATAATTTTTTTTTTTTTTTTTTAAATTTTTGCTTGGCAAGATTTTTTTTTTCTTTTTATGTTGAAGGTATGTTGAATCCCCCCCTCCCGGTCTGTAACTAAATTATTCGGGCATTACAAGCAGACTTGTGTAATGTGAGCTCTGTGGCCAATGCACCTCAGTCTTTTTTTTCGCCCAATCAGATAGAGGATTACAATCTCTGCTGACTTCATAAACATAATGTCACGTGATCAAGTTTAGCTGGTTCTCTTTCGGATAATGATGTAAATAGAAAATTGCAAAATGTCATTCATTCATTTGCCAGTAGAACCACGACTTAAAAACTTCTGACAGTGTGGATAAGGTATCATAGTCACTTATTAAGATTCTCTTTTTATTTATTTATTTAATTTCTGGGGCTTATCACTGATTCATCGACAGATTGCTACTAAAAACTGTCAACATAATTATTTGTTCTTTATAAAAGTGATTTTTATTTCAAAGGGATTTATATCAGATAGTATTCTTATTCAAAATATATGTTAAAACAAGGATACTATATATTTATACATGTACTGCAAATACATTTTCGCTCAGTTTTGAGATGAGACCTATTCAGCTATTTGTCATCACACTATCTGATTATACAACTCATGTAAAGATATTAGTATAGATTTAGTCAGTGAGATATTTCACAGATTACAAAGAGTGTTAGTATTTTAATTAATTTGTATCTTGCAAATTAATTTATTCAGTCACATCAATCTGTCTTTCAAATACTCAAAAGTATAAACATGCCCATACTTTGGAGAGACTGTTTATTATTTATTTTAACAGGTCCAGTCAATATGAGGTAGCTATTAATACCTACCTAGGTATTTAAAGCTACCGAAAGTAGCTATTTTTACTAGGGCTGGGACGATACAACGTTTTCTATATCGATATGTATCACGATATTTGATCCACGATACGATATGTATCACGATGTGTTTAATTGCTTATAAAATCTGTTTTTGCATTGAAATAAACAAATTATTTCTTTGCAAATAAGAATAATTTATTCAAAATAGTTTTTTATATGTTGTAAAACAAAAATATTTTACTGATGTGGTGTTAATTATTATTCATTTCACATCTATATTTATATTTAGCTTAATTATTTTATATATTAAACCCCAAATGTTAAATAAACAAAGAAAAATAGAAGTAAGATTTTGGGGGGGGCGATTAACATATTTTTTCGTATGAAATATCGATATGCGTATCGTTCACAATTTTGCAACAATATATCGATATCTCGATATATCGTCCCAGCCCTAATTTTTACCTACTTTCTGCTTTACTTGCACTTTGTGGCCAAATGCAGGAACGGCGCAACATGGTGAGCACAAAATTTCTTTATACAGTCATACTGATGATGGATATGACAAAAAATTGGCCAAAAAATGATTACTTCGTATATTATCAATTTTGCATAGAAACTATAATGTAAAATTGCTGGTTCAGGAAGTAATAATTTTTTGGCCAAAATTTTGTCGTATTCATCATTAGGCCAGCATTTTTTTATTTTTAGGTTTACGAACATCAGAATGAAAAAGTCCCGTAGGAGGAGGAAATAATAAAAAAAAAAAATTATATTTTGGATACATTTTTTTCACATTAATTTTTGCTTCTTTGTTTATTTAATTAATTACCACTGGACACAAAGGGTTACATCACACTTTATTTCATCATCTACCAGTTGGGGGCAATTTAATTTATATAATACAAATACAGATTTTTTTTTAAAAAATCAATTTTTTATATCTCTTTTAATATATCTTCATTTTTGTTTTTAATGTGTGTTAGGTAGAAATTATTCTAAAATATCAATATACTCGAGACCTATAAAAGTAATTCCTTTCATAAAACAGACAGGGAGATTCATTTTAGGGTGGAATTTTTTTCAATTAAGTGTAAAATAATTTTTCTGGCTGTCATAAACGATACTACATGCCTGTATATATTTGTATATTCTTCTTTTTAAATACTAGTAGTTGAAATATTTTATTTCTTTAGGCTATTGTTTATTTCTTCCTCAAATAATTCAACTTCTCCCAATTTTATTCATTACATCTGATGCATAAGCGATCCTTTTCTGAAGAATGATGCTATGTGTGTGTGACAGAAACCTAAACAATGTCTTGACAATAGCTACCATGGGCAGTTTTAAACCTGTAGGAGGAAAATAATTTACAATTACAGTTACTTTGCAATCGGATACATAATTATCTCACCAACATGTCACTTTGCAACAAAGTCGTCAGCATTTTATTGTTCTCTGACAAACGTTTTGAATGGCACTGCTATCGATAAATATTTACATTAAACCAAGCTTTAGTGCTACTATGGACTTGACACAAATCTTTTAATTACCCGCCATGTTCATTTAAAACCGGAAGTACAGAAATTTGAAATATCGATCCCGACTCATTTTGACATCGGAAAGAAAAAATTCCGTTTTTCTCAATTTTATTTTTTTTCTGAAAATTCAAAAACTTGAGCGGTGGGTTTGTAAACCTAAAAATTAAAAAATGCTGGCCTTAGTGTGACTGTATCAAAAGATATAGTATTCACCAAGTTGCGCTGTTTTGTCTTTGTGCCGCAAAATGCAGAAGTTATAAAAAGTAGGTAAAAATAGCTACTTTGGGTAGCTTTAAATACCTAGGTAGCTATTAATAGCTACGTAGGTAGAAATAGTCTTTGGACTGGACCTGTTTAAAGCAATATGAGCTGCATTTTTTAAAATTTTATTTTGCTGTTAAAATGTGTTATTATAATAAATTTGTATTAAACCTTAAACCTTTATGACCAATTAGACTAAAATAAAGCAGAAAAAAGACTTTTAAATACAGTCAAATATACAGTTTTAAATAAGAAATCATTATTATTGTACAGGACGACAATAATGTAATTTTGATTCAATCGAATGCTTGAAAATAGTTCTTTCATTGCAAACATGAACAAAATAAGTTTATTAACATTATTTTTTTCTGTCATTGAAATAGTAATTTACAATTTTGCAACAAAAAATTCCGACATCAAAGTTGCAGTTCATATTGCTTTAATCTTGTATTGATTTACATTTATAAATCATGATGTTATATACTGATAATGTATCATGCACATCCTGATAATTATTTTTAAACTCATGAAAATAAGTAGCATGGATAAGGTACTGTATTGTGCATGATTAATATATTTATTATAATTAATAGGCCTTTGTACTTTTATTCATGCAGTTTGGAAAACAAGCACTGTTATAATACACTGTTCACACAAAATGTAATGTATTAATTCAATATGTAATAGATAACATAATAAAATACATAAACACAATTTTTAATAGCAAGAATTATTTCATTGTGATTGCCCTGTTGGAGTTATACAGGCCCAATTTCCTTCATCATATTCAACCAATTTAAGCTCATACCAGGCAATTGGGTGAAGATAACACATATTAACAATTTTTTTTATGCATTTATGTTAAGGTATGCTTTTTTTTATTCTTAGTTTAAGTATTTTTAATATTTTTGCCTTAATATATTACGCAAACAAGTTTATTTGATTATGCTCAACATGCTCAGAGGAAAATTCGCTTGTTGGACCTCCAAATGGGAAATAACTCTTGGTAAATTCAGGTCTATCGAAAATTAAACTATCTATTCATGGTGAAACATCTAAACAAAACTATACATTGGAAATTTTATGTTTAATTTATCTAAGATTAATTATTATACCCCCTGCAAACGAAGTTTGGGGGGGTATATAGGAATCACCTTGTCCGTCCGTCCGTCTGTCTGTCTGTCCGTCAGGTCTATCAGGTGTATCAAATTCAGGTCTATCAAAAATTAAACTATCTATTCATGGTGAAACATCTAAACAAAACTATACATTGGAAATTTTATGTTTAATTTATCTAAGATTAATTATTATACCCCCCGCAAACGAAGTTTGGGGGGGTATATAGAAATCACCTTGTCCGTCTGTCTGTCTGTCCGTCTGTCTGTGCAAACGTGTCCGGTCCATATCTTTCTTACGGAGGGACATTAGAATTTACTACTCCACACAAAGATTACCCATGACCTAAGGGTGTGTCATGACCTTGACCCAAGGTCATTTGGGGAACTTCAAGGTCACTGGAAGAAAAAGTTCATAATTCGTGTCCAGTCCATATCTTTCTTATGGATAAACTTGGTAGGTTCTCATTTCACGCAAAGATTGCCCTTGACCTAAGGGTGTGTCATGACCTTGACCCAATGTCATTTGGAGAAGTTCAAGGTCACTGGAAGAAAAAGTTCATAAGTTGTGTCCAGTCCTTATCTTTCTTATGGGTAAAGTTGGTGGGTTCTCATTCTACACAAAGATTGCCCATGACCTAAGGGTGTGTCATGACCTTGACCCAAGGTCATTTTGGGAAGTTCAAGGTCACTTGAAGAAAAAGTTCATAATTCATGTCCTGTCCATATCTTTCTTATTGATAAACTTGGTAGGTTCTCATTTCACACAAAGATTGCCCATGACCCAAGGGTGTGTCATGACCTTGACCCAAGGTCATTTGGGGAACTTCAAGGTCACTGGAAGAAAAATTTCATAACTCATGTGTGATACATATCTTTATTCATGAAAAACCCAGCAGGGGGGTATTTTGTCCTGTTTGGACGGTTCTAGTTTAAGCACAGAAGTAGGGCAGTCATGAAATAAAGGGCATGCTCATGATAATAATTAGCAATCTGATAATGTAAAAATAGTAAATCTAAGGGAAAAGGTGGAAAATGCTCCAAAACGTACAAAGAATTGATGAAAGGCTCTGAGCATGTGTATATCATGTCTTAAATAGGGAAAAAATTGTAATACAAATAAACATTAAAATTGATCATATCTAAATTTTTGTCATGTATGTATTCACATACATGAACAGTTTATAAACAGTTATGCTGTTAGGAGTGTGAACATTAATGTCCTGTCAATTGATTAGATATAAAATTGCACTTGAAATATTTAAAATGAAAAAAAATATTCTGAGAGCATGTGTGATACATATCTTTGATGTGATGTGGAAAAGGGTATGTATTAATATGATTATTACATACTTAGTAATAAAATACAGCATACATATAGTTGAGAAGAGAATAAGTAAATAATCTTACATACATGTACATGGTCTATTGTCTCATACGATTTGGGTTTGTTTCTACTTCTATTTCAAAGCACTAGATCCGTAATTTGACAATATTCTACTACATGTATTTGTAGATCAAGATTAATCTTATTTTCAAAAAGTTAAATACCAAAAATTGTGTATGATCACAAGTACTGTTTTTGTGGTTTAATTTACTAAGGGTGTGATATTGACGTCACAATAGTCCTTCAGCCCTGCAGGGCTGATATAGGTTATCAGCCCTGCAAATCCATATCAGCCCTGCAGGGTTGATACGGCTATTGTGACGTCAGCCATATTGCATATGCAAAAAACCTGTATTTATTACAAAGTGTGTAATAAATATACATATACATGTATTTAAAAGCTCGGGGAAATGTAGATATTTGACATGTTTAACAGATATTGAGTGAATTTCTGTGTTATAAGATAATTAAATGCTCTACCTCCACCTCCTTCTTGAATTATATGCAGTATATTTACAAGAAATACCAATTAAAATATGATAGATGATTATATGATGGTAGCAATAGAACCCTATGGCCTTTTTTTTCTTGCTTAACCGATAATTTCTTTGAATATTTAAGATTTGGTTTACTGATTGAATAATGCTACTACAGTTCTTTAGCGTGTGCATCAGAATCTATCATCTTAATACAAATGTCATCATCAGATCTGCAAACAGCAGACATGCAAATTTTTATCAAACCTATTACTCAAGGGAATGCATTTCTGATGTAACAAAAGTGCTTGTTAACTTGGGGCAATTAGGGAATGGGAGTTGGAAAAATCTATCTTCTAACCAGAACAGAACATTATATTGTTTATGGTAAGATATTAATGGCCGAATATTTAGCAGAAATATTGATTGTTTTTGTGTATATTTAAACTGCCGTGTTTAACAAGGCCAGAATTGGCATGCATTGATCCAGGTTTCATTGCAAAGTGATAAAGTATGTAACCATAATCTGCTGGGAATTAATGTCATTTAGGCATTCTCAGTAATATTTAAAACATCCTGTGTTTTGTGTATACATGTACTAGGTGTACAGTTTTCTGTAGATCACAGATGGAAGTAGTATTATTCAAATTCTTCTTGAAAATTTTCCCAGCAGGGAAAATAAAATTCGAAAAAAAAAAAAATTTATAAGGACCCAAATATCCTCTCATTTTTAAGATCTCTGGATTTAGTAGAATTTGCACCTCATATATAGTACAAATGTATATATATTTTTAAAGGATTTTCAATGTTTGTATTGTGTAACATTTTATTGTAAGTCTGATTTCAAAGACATAAAATGCATTTTTCACAAATATTTTTAAAGAGGGAGGGGGTAAATTTTGGCAACTAAGTTCAAAGAAACAATTTTTCTTTCCTTGGTTTGGTCAGGTATGAAATGAAGTAAAACTGAACAGTTCTATATTTTAGAAATTACAATAATACCTTGAATGGGACAGAATGAAGGAAAGCATGCGGGAGGTAAACACCACACCCCAGGGAATTCCCGGAAACCAAGCCGGACTTCGGGGGCAGATTCAGACTCGGACTCCGTAGATACGTCTTCCTCCACCCAGAGTCCTGTTACTCCTGATTCCAAACAAAACCGAGTGATGGCCCTCTTCAGGAAACAGAGTGAGGCCTGCAAAAAGCGCATGGACCATCAGTTGTATCTGGTGGGTATTTTTGCTTGGACCTTCAGCTTGTGGTCAAATTTGAAGTGGTGTTCATGTATTACTGTGAAATCAATAATTTTTGTGAGGTGTATATTTTGTTGTTTTCGAAGTATGGAGGGACCGATGAATTCATGTCAACTACAAATTGTAAAATTGAATATGCATTACTACTCAATACTTCTCCAACCACGAAAACAAATCCCCTATCCCCAATATCAATATTTTCCCCAATATCAATATTTTTTTCTCAAACTTTGAAAATTTGCCCCCCCCCCAATTACAATTTATATGTGATTTCACAGTATTCTTAAAAATGATAGTTCTATCATTTGTGTTATCCCCAGCCAAAAATATTTCTCATGAGAAAAGTTTGTATAGCTTGAAGGATTTTTAAATGTGGATTTTTAATTAAAAATTCCTTTTCTTTTCCTTTTTTCCAGGCACAAGAAAGTCCAGAACCAACAATTGATTTATCAAAATGTGAACTGGAAGAGGTAAGACTTTATGTGCAGCAGTTTAAAAATCTATTTATGTCCTCGATGAATGTTTAGAGTGTTTATATTCATGATGATGTCTTTTCCAGATTGTTGAAATAAGCACATATTCAAATTTGTCTCTTTCAGATCCCACCTCTTGTTTTCTCTTTGTGCAAGATTTTGAGTAAGGAGGTAAGAGTATATTCTAGCTGTTGCCTCTTTACATGTATACTGCATTTGGTTTAATAGGCTGATATAATTAATTCTGAAAGGGGTTACTTTTGAAAATTGAATTATATGTCAGAGTAGAGAGTAGTGCATCTGAAAATACATTTTATTTTTCTGAAATCTTCATACCGGTATGCAAGAAATTATGAGAGTAAAAGTAGCATATGTTTGCTAAAAAATTTGAAGAGTGGGCCAAAAAGAGTTTGAATGGAGTTACTATTGTAATTTACCAGTGTATATGTATAATTGTAAAGAATCAAGTGTAATGTTTTTTACAGGCAGTATTTCTGGGTGATAATTGGCTAGGATCATTAGAAGGTGGAAAATGTATAGATATGAGGACCGTAAGGGTAAGATATTTCAGGAAGGATGTATATTAATTACATGTATAAGGACCAAAGGTCATGTTTCAGGACTGAATGGGTCACATTGATATCTAAAGAAATATGAATGTATATAATTACATGTGTAAAACACTCTGAAGAGCCGTAACGGCGAAAGCGCTTAGTGTAAAAAATTAAACGTAAACTTGTTTGTTTATCTTGGATTTAATTTTGATTTATAACTTTTACCATGGACTTCTGTGTGGTACTGTAATACTTTTTTCTGTGTGGTATAATTTACGCTATGTAAGCAGTCACAAATTTTCTGCTGAAATTTGTCCAACTGAACCTAAAATATGTGTTAGGCATGTAGTGTGAGTGTAAGAAATCAGCATAAATTTCTACCCGCAGATTAAACAGAAATAGATATTCTGCAGAATTTTGACACCGTGGAAAAAAGTACATCTACTGTACTTAAAATTATGTACAGGTATATATGTGTGTGTTTTTCAATTTAATAACTGTTATCATACATCTAAGTATATATGATGTATCATTTTTAGCTCACCTCAACGAAGTTGGGGGAGCTTATATAATACCCTCGGCGTCGGTGTCCCAGGTTAAGGTTAAGTTTTTTGGAGCAGTTTTCTTTTTAATTATTTCTATGTCCTATATTGATTAGACATGCATGGAAGATGCTTCTAATGTGTTTCATTGTACCAGTCAAAGTTTCAGATGCTGCAATTTCATCAAAGGAATGACCAGGTTCATGTTTTTGGAGCAGGTTAACATTTTTGGTGCAGTTTTTGGTGTAGGTCTCATTTCCAAGGAACTATAAGCCCTATGTTGACCAAACTTGCATGGATGCACATTACCAGGCTTGCTTCGGATGCTGAATCTCAGGTTGAAAGGATGTACACTACCATGTTGACCAAACTTGCATGGATGATACATCTAAGGATGTACACTACCAGACTTGCTTCGGATGCTGAATCTGACCTACATTTTCCGGTTGAGTGAACAGGTTAATGTTTTTGGTGCAGGTCTCATTTTCAAGTAACTATAAGCCCTATGTTGACCAAACTTGCATGGATGATACATCTAGGGATGCACATTACCAGGCTTGCTTCAGATGCTGAATCTGAGCTACATTTTCCGGTTGATTGAACAGGTTAAAGTTTTTGGTGCAGGGTTCATTTCCAAGATACAATGAGCCCTATAATGACCAAACTTGCATGGATGGTACATCTTAGAATGCATACTACCAGACTTGCTTTGGATGCTGAATCTGACCTACAATTTATGGATGAGTGAACAGGTTAATGTTTTTTGGGCAGTTTTCATTTCCAAGTTACAATGATCCCTATAATGACTAAACTTACATGGATGATACATCTTAGGATGCATACTACCAGACTTGCTTCAGATGCTGAATCTGACCTACATTTTCTGGATGAGTGAACAGGTTAAAGTTTTTGATGCAGGATTCATTTCCAAGTAACTATGAGCTCTTTAATGACCAAACTTGCATGGATGATACATCTAAGGTTGCATTCTACCAGGCTTGCTTTAGATGCTGAATCTGACCTACATTTTTTTCTGGATGAGTGAAGAGGTTAAATTTTTATGCAGGTTTCATTTCTAAGTAATTATTAGCGATATGTTGTGCAAACTCGTATGGATGATACATCTTAGGATGCATACTAATGGACTTGCTGTGGATGCTGAATTCCACAGACATTTTCCAGATAATAGACCAGGTAAAAGTTATGATGGAGCATGTCTCTCACTAAGAAACTATAAGGCTTAAATAAACCAAACTTGCCCAGATGATGCATCAATATAGGGATGAAAACTCTAAAACTTGCTTTAGATGCTGGATTTTGATCACATTTTCGTGATAAAGAACTAGTTTGAAGTTTTTATATAAGTCTATTCCAAAGTATCAGATTAAAATTGCATAAATTTTGCATTTTTGGATGTACACTTTTTGTTGGGTAATTGTGTGACTTTGCCTTACTTAAAGACCACATTCGTTGAGGTGAGCTCTGTAATCTCTGATTACCTATGTTTATACATGCATCATTTTTTGAAATAGGTGTTAGACTTGCACAACAATGAAATTAAAGTGTTGCCCAAAGACATAGGAAATATGACATGTTTACAGGTAAGTGTATCTTATTCTTAACATTGAAAAAAATCAGATTGAATATAAGCAGTTTTTGATCTCCATGAATAAGAATTAGATATCTTATGGATTTTATTTTTTTTTTAAAATATAGGTACTCAACTTGGAAAGAAACAGAATATCAATTCTGCCAAAGAGTATCGAAGATCTAAAACACTTACAGACATTAAATTTAAAAGGTATGCTTTCAAAAAATTTACAGTGAGTTCCATACTTTACCCTAAAGCCATATATTTGCTAGGTTTGCGTTAATGCTTATAAACAGTATTTGATACACCAATTTTTCTTCCTTAGGAAACAGAATGAAACTTGTGTCTCCATCTTTGTGTGCCCTGAAGAGTTTACGGACATTAGATATATCAGAAAATAAAATCACCAGTTTACCTCCACAACTGTGCAATGTCAGAACACTGGAAACTCTAGTCATCGATGTCCAGAAAATTACATATCCCTCTTCAGGTAAAAAAAAACCTCTAGTCATAGATGTCCAGAAAATTACGTATCCCTCCTCAGGTAAAAAAAAAAAACTCTAGTCATAGATGTCCAGAAAATTACATATCCCTCCTCAGGTAAAAAAAACTGATTTTTTTTTTTGAAAAAGTTTGCATAAAAATGTGTTAGATATTAAGATAAGGTATGTGAGTTAAAAAAATCTTTTATACTGAGATTTTAGAAGTTTTGAAGATGCATAACCATAATAGATTTATGTTCTATTGGTAGCCTTTACATTTCGTATGGGTTTAGTAGTGTATAAATTTTGGGTATCTTTGGGACAAGGCTCTTTTCATGTGTTCCATTGGTTATTAATGTGTTTCATTGTAGATGTATGCAAGAAGGGGACAGAAGAAATTATGAAGTTTCTATGCACAGGTAGGAGTTAAAATTTACTTAGTACGGTGTACAGGGTTATTTTCACCCCATGTTATTTTCGCCCTTTTGCACTTGCAAACAATTTTGCCCCATTTTAAATTCACCCAGTAATAGTTCTGTTTAAGAAATTATACAGTTTAATTTGAATTTGCCTCTGTTTAAATTCGCCCAATCAAGACGAAGGTGAAAGGGGCGAAAATTTCCCTGTATACAGTACATGTATTAACATTTTAGCTCACTTCGTGGCATCACAGTTATCCACAGTTAGTTAATTTGCCAGCATCCCCAGGTATGTCAAAATTCAATTATATTAGGACCCCCATGGTTAAGGTCACAGTCAGGGTCATATTTTAGAAGAATATAAAAATTCATAAAAATTTTCTGAAGAAAAACAGGACCTATATTGTCATATTGAAATACAATTATTATGCAATTATTCCCAAATAGCATAGATTCAAATTTGACAGAATTGTTGCCTTTTAAGCATTGGCCCATTGGTATGGATATTTTTTGATTGAACTATGAAATGATAAAAGTACTTTTATATATTTACTCTGTACTTTTTGGGGTACCTGTACATGTCTACATGTATGCTTTGACTTCCTAGACTTACTTTTAATACTTTTTAAAAATATTTTCAATAAATAGAGTGTCAGATGGAGTACGAGCCTCCCTCTAAGTTTCTGCTTGGTATTCTGGAACCCCCCAATCTCATGTTATCCCCTCAACGGTCATCATTCGCCAAAGCTGTGGAGGAGGAAGAGAGTACATTAAAGGTACGTAGTGACTATAGATTCAGATATATACAGTAAAACATGCTTAAAACAAAGTGCCAGGGACAGACAGTTTTGCTTTGTTTTTGTCATTTGTTATATCCGTTAAGTTCATTATATATTTTAAAGCCATGGGGATTGGGGAATGAAAATAACTTTGCTGTAAACGTCAATTCGTAATAAGTGTGTATGCTAAAATTTTAATTGAACAAACAAAATAAAATGAATATACATATACCAACAGGTATCTTTTGATATTGAATTCTGATTTAATTTTTTGGCTGTATTTAATATAATGCAGAAATTTTAATTGTGTAAAGTTTTACATGTGTATTTAATTTTGTAGATGACTGATAATAGGACAATTAAGTAATGTCTTTAAATTCTTATTCTTATCTCAGAGTTATTTCCTTTTCATTTCAGCAAAATATTGATAGCTACAATTCAATCATGGTAAGTCATATTTATGCCAAATACATTTTTTTGTTAGCTTTAAGTTTATACCTCATTGCTTAAATGTCAGCATCACAGGTAAAATTTGCTGGAGCTGCTCTGTTCCCAAATAAATTACCATTATAAGCTCTGACCAAGCTTGTTTGGATTATACATCTAGGGAGGTGCTACTGATGATGACTTGTGTTTAGTTTCTATCTTTATGAAATTCATTTTTTTTGTTTTTGGGACAGGAAAAGAAAAGATTACAAAGGATAGAGTTAGAGAGATTGATGGAATTGGAGATGTTAGAGCAAGCTCAGCTCGCCAGCCAGGCCATGGGTGAAAAACAAAGGTTCATAGAGGAAATGGCAAAGGTAATGTGTCTGTCTAATTACCTTATATGAAAAATAAAAAGTGCATTTGTCAAGTGCATTTGTACGTGTATTATTTGGATTTTAATTTTAGGATCAAAATAAGATGGACAGAGAACTAGAAACAATTTTGCATGGAAAAGGAGAAGAGAGGAAGAAACTTGTTAAATACATTCAACAGGGTAAATAATGTTCTAGTTATTTAATAGAATCGTTGCATTAAGGTATATTGTTGCTTTGAGATTTATTGTTGTTTCAAGATTTACTTCTACATGAAAATGCATTGAGAGGAGAGAGAGTCCTAAAAAGATGTATACAGAAGACACTGTAGTTGCTTATTTTTTGCCATCTTCTTTATATATGAATGACAGTTTAATTGACTCCACATTTTTGGAAGCAGTTGTTTAAATGAAATGTTTTTCTTTCAATCTAACAGTGGCCGACAGCACAGATGACCTGATTAAAAATATGTTAGAGATGCAGGAGAAGGCTCGGAAAACAGAAGAACTTCTTGAGATCATGGAGAGAGAAAGAATTGAGGATGAACAGTTGTACGTTGTCAAAGCAGAGGAACTCCAGAACCTGAGAAAACAGGAAGTACTCAGTGAGTACAGCATGTAATTCACTGTACATGTAATTTACATGTAGTAAATTACACCACCAATAATATAAAATAGACTAAAATAATTGTTTAAAAATATCCTCATGGCTGGCCTATTTTGAGGAAAAGTGGTCATCAATATTTAAAAAAATGATGAGAGTGTTGAAGATTTCTGAATTCAATATAAAGTGTTTTCTTGATACATGTATTTTTTTTTTATCAAAGTACAGGTATTTAATTAATATTGATTTAGATTGGTATTCAGTATATTAATATTTTGTCCCAAAAAATGCAAAAGGTGACAAGTTCACTTTAAAATTGATTTGTTATGTTGAAAAGGTTATGAAAAATAAATTGTGCAATGTCTGGTGATTAACCATCTCTGTCATTGCCTATATTATGATGATAATAAATGATCAGCTACTAATGGTTTGTTTTCTCTGTTTCAGGAGCTATGGAGGCTATGTTACAGGAGTCTGAGATGTTTGAGTATCTGAGATCCAACTATGTCAATACTAAAGACCATGCCTTTAGACAAGCCTTGCATGAGTAAGCATATCAGTTTCCTAGATTTTTATTCTACCACCCATGCAAGTCTTGTTTTTTTCTGAATAAGATGTACAGTACATTCAGTGGCAGTTTCTGTACTTTATTGTGGTATGCTAGCAGGAGATTGGCAGATTGTCAAAATATTTCAAAATCAATTTTTTTTGTGTGAGGTTATGAAACTCCACCCATTGACCCTTCAGAATTCCTGGATCCACCCTTGTATGTTCACATAACTGCTTTGACCCTCCTTGTATGTTCTCAGAGCTGCATTGATTTTCATGTAAACTCAATGATGTTTATACTTTTCAGTGAGGAGATGACAAGTCAGGGCCAAGTACAGAGCATTCTCCGTAGTAAGGACCTTGCTAACACCAACATGTTAGAAGTTCTTCAGAAGCAGGTAAAGTTTGGCCTCAGTCAAATGATCAGACTGTTGTCTGTGTTTAGACAATGTTTAAACATTTTTGAAAAATATCAGAGGATAAGTATTTTAAAAGCTTTAACTGAAATATGAAAAAGATTTACAGTAAAACTTGGTTATAATGAAGTCACTAGGACCTATGAAATTACTTAGCTACATGTATATCTGTAATTCGTTATATCCGTATAAGGAATTCATTAAATTTATATAGCTGGGGATCCAAAATATCTTCGCTATATCTGTGAATTTGAAATATCCTTGTTCATACTAAACAAGTTTCGCTGAATTTATTTATATGCACTTGCAACATAGATTTAAAATTTTCATTTTAGAAAAACTTTAAAATGTACAGATTTTACGTTCATGTGTGACAATTATCTGCAAATAATTACTTAATATATACTACCTTGCTCCATTTCAGGAGGAGTTTCAGAGAGACGCATTTGAGGCCTTGCAGATCCAGAAGGATATTAAATCCCAGAGGATTGCCCAGCAGATAAACCTGATTGAGGAGGAATTAGCCAGCCTCACTTGTGTGGAGATTCAACGTAAAGAGGAGCGAACAGATGATGAAATTGTAAGTATAAAGAGTAGTATTGTGTCCATGTGATGAGACACATGTAAAAGAATGAAGGAAAGTCGAGAGCTGAAAATTTTGTTTCGAATAAGTTGCATTGTGTATCTCCCATTTTATGTCTCAATATGACATAATATACTTGAGATTTCCTCTAGCAAAACATGGATTTTACAATTATACTCGTATGGGAGCAGGGGATATCATTTTGTTAGCTCAGTGCTCACAGTGCCTTTAGTTTACAATAAAATCAAACCAGTCAGTTAAAAAAAGTAATAATCACCTCATTTGTACTTCTCTTCCTTAAACAGCAAATAACAGTATTATTGCTTTCTTACAACAGAACCGCCTTGCTGAGAAGAGGGTAGAACTGTTAGGACTACTGGCCCAACTGATGCATGAACAAGAGGGACGAAGGGACGAACTCAAAAAGAGACTGGTATGTGTCTGTCTTTGGCAACTTTAGTCCCTTGATTCTAGAATTTCAAATAAAAATTTACAAGTTTGATTATTTGTTTTTAGACCAAATGAACAGAACAAAGATTATTACTGTGTCTGACTTAAGTTTATATTAAGTTTATTTTGACTCGAATTTTATATGATTGGATGTATTTGGAGGGTCTGTATTTCATTCTTCTGTTTGTATAGGCTGAGATGGAGCAACAGAAGGAGGACGGACAGACAGACTATTGGTTGGTACAGTACCAGAGACTGATGGACAGGAAACCACAGGCTCTCATGGATCGAGTAAGTTCTCTTAGTAATGGAATAAATTATGATAGGAAAAGAGTTTTCATTGGATGCTCAGAAGTTTTAAGTTGAAAGAGGATAAGAGCCAGGAGAAATAAAAAAAAAATTCTTTCCTGAATAGTAACTTGTTTTGAACTTTGTACAGGAGAGACAATTAGAGATTGCAGTGGTGACAGTTCTAGAGGACTCTGGAGCGGAGGATTATCTCCCTGTATTTGCTAGGCATCGCATCACCATAGAAACCTTGCTGCAAATGACAGATGATGACCTGAAACAAGTATGAACTTAAAACTTAAATTATTTGTTGAAGCTATACATATATACAGTAATTATAGTCAATTGCTTGATCAAGCTTGACACCTATGACTATTAAAAGAGCAATGGGTTTTAAATTGGCAATCGAAATATACACATTGAGAAAATCAAACTTTGAATTGCTGAAACACCAAAATAAAAATTTGATTAGTAGAATGTAAACTTGCTTGTATCACACATTTTTTAGATTTGATGAAAATCCTTGAAATTATTTTTGATGCAAATCTAAAGTATGATTTTCTTAAGTAACAACCGATAAACAATTGTGTAAATTTGCAGATGGGAGTTCATGAACTTGGACTAAGGAGAGCTATTTTGAAGAATGCTGAAAATTTCAGAACATCAAAGGCTGCAACATATCCTAGTGACACCACTGAACCAACCCCAAGTCAACCAAGCAAGGACAAGTTCAAGGAACGGGTAAGAAAATTCTTTTGTAAGACATATATACACATGTATCAGTAGCAGAATTACATGTAGACTTGATAAAGTAGATTAGTTTGAGTTGTGTAGGAATCCTGCTGCACTATTAAGCCATGCAAAATGATTAACAGCTAAGATCAAACTGAAACACAGAATAAATAAATCAGCATCATAATGTCTGCAGTGGGACAGTTAACTCGATACTTTTTGCAAATAATAAAGAAAAAAAAAAACTATTAGAAAGGCTAACATTGTTCAAAATGTGTAGAATTTAAAATGCATGTCCATATCTTGGTAATTACATGGGTATTATGTTTGTTAAAATTTTGCAAATTTACCTTGCTTAGAGTCTGCTTGAAAATTTTTCTGAATCCTATTAACTCAGCTTTGAGAATTCTTGAACTTTCCAATTTTTCTCTAAGAATATCTCACAGCAAGGAACAATGAAAATTAATTTTTTTTTTTTTCTCAGGAGGATGTGAGCTTTGACCACCCTAAACCATCTGCTCCACCAATCAGACAAGGTTCTATACTAGCAAGGGGACTTAACTCAGAATGTGTGATATGTCTTGATAGACAGGTATGCAGAACATCAAACTCTTACATTTACTTATATTTAAAAATCTTATTTTCTGCAGGTATAAAAGGACAAATAAAATTAAACTGGACTAGGAATGCCCTTACATTTTTAACAATGAATGATTTTGTTTGGGTTCTAGATTTATGGGATACTGCATATTAGTGTTGTTATGATAGTTAATACTGGTAATTATTAATCAACTGACCTTATTTTCAGTCTGCTGTGATTTTCCTATCTTGCGGTCATTATTGACTCTTTTTTTCAGTCTGCTGTGATTTTCCTATCTTGTGGTCATGTGTGCTGTTGTGAGGAGTGCTCAGAAGCCGTGAAAGACTGTCCTCTTTGTCGCGGAACCATTATTCAGAGAATCAAACTGGGCACTACTGCTTTTGCAGAGGCACCTGTGCCAATTCCAACCGAACACCCCCCTCCGGCCCCACTACCAGAAGAACACCCCCCTTCGGCCCCACTACCAGAAGAACACCCCCCTCCGGCCCCACTACCAGAAGAACACCCCCCTTCGGCCCCACTACCAGAAGAACACCCCCCTTCGGCCCCATTACCAGAGGAACACCCCCCATCTGCTCCTCCTTTGCCCTAGTTTTCCGCTTTCTTATATTCTGACATCCACTATAATCTATAACATTAGGTGTTGTGTAATAGACATATTTATTCTGAGCTAAACTGAATAATATTTATATTCTGTGTATTTTAACCATTATTCATACACTGAATCTGTATTTATATATACACTTTGCATTTTTTTAGTAAAGGAGAAATTTATGAGAATTAGGTTGGGGGAAAAATAATTATGATTCACCATTACTATCCAAGTAATTCATGTACTGGGGGTATGTTCATAAGTTTGATTTTTTGTTTTTGTTTTGGATGGGGGGTGGTTAGAAGGTTAGCTTTATACAATTGTTCATATTTATGTTCAACTGTGCAGGATTTATAGTCTTGTTATCCGTTATCCTCAACTACTGGGTACATGTACATGTTTTCTATTTATTTCTGTAACATAATTGAATAGTAGATGTACATGTATATACATGTACAAGTATCTGTATATTCAACGTTCAAGTCCCAAAGAAAGGTGATTTATGGTGTCTTTTCATGATGTGTCTTTATAGGTTATGTTTACATTGAAAGGCTGTGTACCTTGTTCCATGTGTTCTTTACCACTACCGTATTTATACCAAATGTTTTGTCATTTACAAGTAATTTAAAGAGAAATGTATTTATATACTGTACATGCAGTTGCAGAATGTTATCTTAATAATGGAATATAAAAACTTAGCATTCATTATTTGTTTTTTCCCTTGTTTTTATTTTTGCTAAACTGTTTTTAATTTCACCTCAGTGACTTACATGTACGTTAAATGAATAATTTTTGTATGAAGTACATTCTTTTAAACAACAAGGAATCTTTCTCTGTTATTTTTTTTTGTTATTGTTTGGTATGAAAAAAATTGTTTAGATAATGTTATTATGAAGAGCTATGACTAAAAGTTTTCTCTTCGGATGAGTTTTTCAGTATCTTAATGGTACATGTACATCTATCTTGTATGCTCTCTGCCCCATGTTGGGGTGATATGTAAATGCTCAATGAATGGTAAAGCACCAATGCATGAATTGGCAGCTAAAATAAAAGGAGCAAATGCAAATAATTTTTACTTTCTGTTATTTCTTCCTTAGGTTCTTGGTTTAATAATGCTTGTGTCAGCAATGAAATATGTTCATGCATAATGCTTCACTGTACCTTTACTATTGAAACAAACTGAAAACTTTTAGTTGTCTCATTTTTTAAAATAATTTTCTAATGCATATGTTTGATCTTTTCTTACAAGTATGATTCATTACATTGTGCTCTCAGCCCATGCAACCATCTGTTATCCATGTCCATTTAATGCCTCTACATGTATGTCAAAGTGTATCAAGAAAAAAAAAAGACAATGAAATTATTCATTCAAAAGTCGATATTCGTATGGTCTAGCATGGCTACAACATACCAAACAAATGTGCTATTTTCCTTTGGTACCAAACTGTTGGCTCATAATGCCATATTGATATACATGTATATTCATAATAGGCCTATGATGAATTGCTTTATATTAGATTGTTAAATAAATTTCACTCTCATATTGCTAGTTGTCTACTGTAATTTGTTTGATTCTGCATGGTTACTACATGTATTTGAAATTGATTATATGTACATGTAATAATTACAGATGAAGTGTATCTTCATAAAGGAAATAATTTAAAAATACTTCCCCCACAGTTCCAGACTGATTTACAAATTAGCTTAATAGACAAAGAGACAATAAATCTGCTAGGTTTTTGAATCAATGTTTCAAAGGTTACTAAAATAGAAGATTCTGAAATTTTAGCTTTCATGGTCTGATTTTAATGAAACTGTGCAGACAAATAAACAAATATAACAAACATACAAATTCAAGGCTGTTTTGCTTCCACAGTAGATTTCAGTCCCCTTATAATACTAATAGTCTTGATCTTCAAATCTCTTGTATATTGGACAAATGTATGCCTAGAATCTTTCTATCTTATTTGATGCATCCTGAAACATGAGATCTGATATTCCCAAACAAGAAGCCCATGGGCCACAAAACTCACCGGTGTCAGTTTAGCCCTGCAGTTTTAGGTAACATTTTTTTTCCCCGTAAAACATAATTGTGTATTTTTCTGTATTTTTGATTGCTTTTTATGGCTCCATCATATACTAGTATACAAGGACTATGATTTGAACAAGAGGCCCATTGGCCACAATGCTCATCTGAGTAACTGGCCATTCTGTTATTTAACAGATTTTCCCCTTTGTAATACCTATCTTGACCTTGCCCAATCCCAAAGAGTCATGATTTGAAGAATTTAAATTCTACATTACCCCACAATTCTTCAACAAAGGTTTCAGCTTTTCTGGCCCTGTGGTTCTCAAGAAGATTTTTAATGTTTATTCATATCTACAAAGTAAAACTTTGATTCCCTACTATGTCCCGCCCTACAACTGGGGGTCATCATTTGAACAATTTAGAATCTACACTACCCCAGGATGCTTCCACATAAGTTTCAGCTTTTCTGGCCCAGTGGTTCTTAAGAAGAAGATTTTTAAAAGTTTTTTTCCTATATACTCCAGTGTAAACTTGGATTCCCTACTGTGACCCCCACCCTACCCCCGGGGGTCAGGATTTATTCTACACTACCCCAGGATGCTTCCACACTTTTCTGGCCCAGTGGTTCTTAAAAAGAAGATTTTTTAATGACCCTACCCTATTTTTGTATTTTCTTGATTATCTCCCTTTGGAAGGGGACTTTGCCCTTTATTTTAAAAATTTAAATTCTTCTTTACATAAGGATGCTTTGTACCAAATTTGTTGAAATTGGATCTTGAGAAGAAGTTGAAAATGTGAAAAGTTTACAGACGGACGGACAACGGGTGACCAGAAAAGCTCACTTGAGCTTTCAGCTCAGGTTAGCTAAAAAGGGATGTACAATATATCAGAGGATGCTTCCACATTTTAAAATATGATTCAGTATGGATTTGCTCTTGAGAGTTTGAAAAGATTTTTAGGTCACCTCAGTAAACTCGGTTGACCTATTGCTATCCATTTTTGTCCGTTGTCGTGCGTTAACATTTGAACATTTTCATATTCTTCCCTATAACCGCTTAACCAATTACAACCAATTTTGGCATATAGCATCTTTACGTAAAGGGGAACCAAAATTATGAATTTCATGGTCCCTGCCCCCCTGGGGCCTGGGGGTGGGTCCAAAACCATTAAAATTAATGCAATCTTTAAAAATTTTCTTTTTTACTCCTGGACATCATGCAGTCAAACTGTTGGTATGATTGTAATCAGCATTGAGTCATCTTCCAAAATTGTATTGAATTGAAAATTCAAAATTGCATGAATTTCATGTGTAGAGATTGTACCAGTATATAGCCTCGGGGTCAGTGGTTCTGGTGTTAGGGTGGGGCTCTATTGATTACATAGTGAAAATGCATAAATTCTTTAAAAATCTTCTCCTCTGCTCCTGGGTATTAAACCAATGAACTATTTACATGGTTATGATGAGGAAGGATGCCTCTTTGAGATTTGAAAATTTCAGGTGTTAGGGTGGGGCTCTGTTCACAAATTCTTTGAAATTCTTCTTCTTTGCTCCTGGCATTATATGTTGAGTAAGACTGCCTCTTCCAAAATTGTGAATTTCATAGCCCCGGGGTCAGGGGTTCTGGTGTAAGGGTGCAGCTTTAATGTTTATATACCGCTAGTGAAAATGCATGAACTCTGAAAATCTTTTCCTTTGCTACTGGGCATTATGCCAATGATCTAAGTTCATACACGTATTTATGATGAAAAAAGCTGTCTCTTACAAAATGGTTAATTTCAGGGTCCCTGGATCAGGGGTACTAAGAGGGGGGGATTACATAGTCTGAAAATAAATTAATGCTTTGAAATCTGCTCTTTGGTATTAATCAATAATTTACGATGAAATAAAATTTATGATAAAATTTCCAAGATTTTGAAATATGTGGCCCCAGGGTCAGTGGTTCTTGTGGGAAGGGGTGCACAACTGGTTATAAAGTGGAAATGCATTTTCTCTTTGTTACTCTGACCTACCTCAGGGTATTAAGTAACCAAAGTAAGCATGCTAAGTGTATAGTTATGAAAAGCAATGGCGCCTTTTTCAAAATTGTGAATTTCATGGCTTCTGGTTTAAAACACAAATCAAATTCAATTGTTGGAAAATTGTTACGATACTCAGGTGACTTATAAGGCCCATGGGCCATGTTTCCCTATATAATCACAACTATGGCCCAACCTGGCTCCCAAAGGCTTAGTCCAAAATATCTTGCATTTTCCAGGGTTTTTTTTATGAGTTTATATTACATGCCAGACCATGAAACACCAGAATCTAAACTACCTAAGGAAGTTTCCACATAAGATTGTTTTTCTAATCCAGTGGTTCTTGAAAAAAAATTTCCTTTATATTTCATTGTTAAAATTTGTTTCCCTATTGTGGCCACACCCTACCCCATGAGGCTATTGTTGGAACAATTTAGAATCTACACTAGCTACCCCAGAAGGCTTCCACATACATGTAATCTATCTGACTGTTTTTTCTAAAAGATTGTGGCAATTTTGAAATAAATATAGAATAGACAGTTATTTGATATTATGGTCAAAGTCATTTTTTTTTGTAAAACATAGTTCTTGGGATAATAAAACCTTGAGAGTTGTCAAATCTTTATGTGATGTGATGACAGAAATGAAAAATTTAACTTTTAGTATCTTAAATAACCTTTCTATGATGATTATGTAAACCATAATAGATTATTCATGAAAAGAATGGATAATTAAACTGGAAAAAGGTAAATACAGAATCAATTTATAATTTATATCATTTAATTTGGAAAGCATTCAACAAGCAACAATTAGGAATAAGAGGATAACAATTCTATTAAGTTCACTAATATAACAATTCTAAGTTCACTATAACTCTCAATAATGTAAAATCATAGATGTCATCAATGCCAATGGTGAAGGTGAAATTCAACATGGTACAGTTACATGCATGTAAAAACATCCAACTTACTTATATGTGACTTTAAAAACAACAGGCAAAGCACACCAAAACCATACACATATCATTCACATAGACAAAGGTCAAATCGGTCTTCGAATATAGAGTAAAAGAATTCTCTACAGTACCTAATGTAGGTTTTTATAAACAATATAAGATATACATTTGAATGGTTGTACACACAACTTGGGCAGATCCAGCTGTCAAAAGCCTCCCACCACACCCCCATTCACAACATACAATGTCCCTCTCCCATTCCCCTCCTTATCCCCTATGTTTTTGCCACCATTTTTTTTCTGGATATACAAGTATTTGAATCATATCCACTTCTGAATCCTATTTTTGATATTTTGTGTCTTAGTAAAATCAATTTTGAAAATGATATAAGTACTCTACACATACTTGACCTACATTTAAAATCTGAAGATCAATGGTGTGTGAATCTAAACGAGACTTATGACTCACGTTAAAATCTAAATATACATTTACATTTATATCAGTTGAAAGAATACTGATTTTCAAAGTAGGATTTAAAACACATAATATAACTGTAACATTAATTAATGAATTTCTTTCTTCAAAAATTTCTTCATGATAACAAAAAAATATTGAATCAAATAGAATCAATGATACAACAAAACAAGAGGCCCATGGGCCACATCGCTCACCTGAGTAGCTTTGACCATGCTGTTCTTTACCAAAATCCCCCCTTGTAATACATATTGTGACCCAACCCTACCACATTGGTCATAATTTGGACAATTTAAAATCTACAGGATGCTTCCACATAAGTTTCAGCTTTTCTGGCCCAGTAGTTACTATGAAGAAGATTTTTTAAGTATTTTCCTATATATTTCAATTTAAAACTTGTGTTCACTATTTGGGCCTTAAACTACCCCCGGGGGTCATGATTTGAACAATTTAGAATCTACACTACCTCAGGATGCTTCCACATAAGTTTCAGCCTTTCTGGCCCAGTCGTTCTTGAGAAGAAGATTTTTAAAGTTTTTTCCTATTTATTTCTATATAAAACTTTGATTCCCTTTTGTGGCCCCGCCCTACCCCCGGGGGTCATGATTTGAACAATTTAAAATCTGCACTACCTCAGGATGCTTCCACATAAGTTTCAGCTTTTCTGGCCCAGTAGTTCTTGAGAAGTACCGTAGATTTTTATAAAGTTTTTTTCCTACATATTTCTATGTAAAACTTTGATTCCCTATTGTGGCCCCGCCCTACCCCCGAGGGTCATGATTTGAATAATTTAGAATCTACACTACCTCAGGATGCTTCCACATAAGTTTCAGCTTTTCTGGCCCTGTGGTTCTTGAGAAGAAGATTTTTTAATGACCCCACCCTATTTTTGTCTTTTCTTGATTATCTCCCTTTGTGAAGGAACTTTGCCCTTGATTTTAAAAATTTTAACTCCCTTTTACCCAAGGATGCTTTGTACCAAGTTTGGTTAGAATTTGCCCAGTGGTTCTTGAGAAGGAGTTGAAAATGTGAAAAGTTTACAGACGGACGGACGACGGACAAATTCTGATCAGAAAAGCTCACTTGAGCTAAAAATACCAAATTTTCTCTGCAATACTGACAATATAAAAATTATTGTATTGTATCTCAAAATTAAAACAACAATAAAAGAGATCACAATAGCTATATAAAAATAATAAATCACAAGAATCACTAATTTTTAATAGCTTCAAAATAATAAAGAAAAAAATGGGGAAAACGTGTTTTAGGTAAAGAAGACTGATTTCAAAAATGAATCAAGTTCACACTGAAGATTGATGCTAGTATAATACTTCATTAATTGAAGAGTTTTTTTTTTTTTTTTTTTTAAAATGTCCACTAAATCACAGAATTTTCAAAATGAACCTTAACAGTATTTGGCACAGTCTGATCAGCTATTAGAGAACATCCCAAGATAAAAATTGATCATTACTTAATATGCACATTGGTCTTATTGTAAACAAAGGAATAGAACCAAAAACAATTCATATCATAGTATGGTCTTTGTGTAATTTGTAGATAGCTATACATGAATAATAGAAAAACAATATAGTCCTACATGTAGTTTATCGATAATGCATACAATACAAGGAATGCATTTTGAACAAATTTTGAATTCTTAATATATCACTTGTAAACTGTATTACTTCATGTAAATCTCTCATATGTGGATTTCTAGAGTAAATAGGCACAGATTAACTAAAGTCACTCTGGTTTACCTTTAATACATGGTTAAACAAGTCATAGGCATTTATTCTAATTGGCACAACATGCAACTTGGTAATATTTCTAATACTGGGAGTGCAATATCATTCTATTGTCATTTCTTCAGTGAGCTTGCCCACTTTCTGAGAATTTCACCAGCTGCTGCTATGGTTTCATCTTTCTGTAAAAAGAAGGAAAAGTGTGAGGGCATAATTAAACCACTGTACAACTGACCTACAAGGACTAATTATCCCAGTTGACAACTAAAGAAAGGAAAGTTTTAAAATAAATTAAAAACAAGAACTCTGTCCTATTAACAAATAATTATAATGTGTTGAATACAAAAAAAAATCCACTGCCCAGCATTTGAATAACATCTTGAAAAGATACATGTGATATACAGTACTCACTTTGATAAAACAGAAGCGAATATAGTTTTCTCCAAGATGTTTGTGTTCTTGATGGTAGAATGCAGTTGGGGGAATGGCTGCCAACTTCTGAAAATTTAAAAATTTCAATTCTCTTGAAAATACTCTTTACTAGCATACATAGCAGAAGCAAGAGATTTCTCTTCACTTTGATATCAACTAGCTCACCAGTTCTTTTGTCATCCACCTGATGACCTTGAAGTCACGTGGGTCATCTGTCCCATCATCTGGAAGATCTATGTCTAGAAAAAAATAAAACTTTCTACTTCATTTCTAAAATTATAAAATCATACACTATGCTCCTTATTAAGAAAGATAAAATTCACAGTATTAAAGGTTGGATTTTTATTCCAGTTTTTATCCTAAACAGATTTTGCATGTGCAATTACATATTTCAAAGATATATACGTTTTTTAATTTTAACCTCAATATAGCATTCAAAATAGATTTAAATTATTTTTGAAGGCAGATGTTAAACTAACAGCATAAGGAAATATCCACAATAAAAATTAAATAATACTTACTAAGGCCAGATGTGTCCACCATCATAAAATAGCCTCCTTCTGGTACTACAGGAAACAAACCAACGTCCTTGATGATTTTAGCTAACATGTCCCTCTTTGGTTGTAGTTCTTTGGCCAGAGAGTAAAAGTAACATTTGTCTGGTTGGTCCATCAGCTTCATCTCATGCTCTAAAGCTCCAGCAACTGCCTCCTACAACATAAAGCATTTGTTGCACATATTTTTATCATTATTAAATACAGGATTTCAAAAAGGAAAATATTGATACTACCTTGTATTTTATACAACAAATATATTTTAAATGTCTTGTAATAAATCTGTTTATATCCTCATAAATTTGATATCTGGTATAGACAGATCCACAGATAAACAGCAAGTTGACCTCGGATTCATACAATAATGAATCCTACAATAAACCATGCCAAAATAGTGTTTCAAGCATCTTCAAAGAGTAGAGCAAAACTCTGTTATAACGAAGTCACTGGGACCTATGAAATTACTTCACTATATCCGTAATACGTTATAACCGTGTAAGAAATTCATTAAATTTTTATAGATGGGGATCCAAGGTGACTTCACTATATCCATAAATTCACAATATCCGTGTTTGTAATAAACGAGTTTTGCTGTAGTTGCTAAAATAAACTGTGACAGAAAAGTTGATATGAAAAGACAGAGACACAATGCTATACCGCCTTCTCCTTTGGAGTGGGGTATAATTAGTACCTGGACCGGTGTGGGACAGTTGTAAGTACAGTTTTGGTGGAGAATCTGCATGGGGTTGATGAGATCTTCTGGACCCACTGCCCAGCCCAGCTTCCAGCCTGTAGCACTAAATGTCTTCCCAGCACTCCCAATAGTCACCGTTCTCTCCCACATTCCTGGCAGGGAAGCTAAAACAGCAAAAATATTTCTCAAATTTCACTATTAAAGCAGAATTTTGGGAACAGTACTGAAAATGTGTCTTTTATAAAATAATGTCCATAAGTCAGAAATGTCAGTGACTTGATTTTTCTTCACACATGTACATTTATAGGAAACTAATAAGTATACAGCCATTGAAAAGTAAAAGCTTATTGTCAGGTTTTAAAATATTTTGTGTGACAATTTAAACAAAAATCACAGTGCTTCAGGGTTGTTCCTCAGACCCAGGTTCCTGGGAATTTCCGTGCCTATCAAGACATCATCCCCCAGTTACTCCCTGTCATCCCCCCTGTTGAGGGAGGGAACCCCCAGAACTTTTTTTACTGTTGTTTGTCACTTTAATTCTTAGGGACAACCCTGGTGCTTATACATGTAACGTTTTCAGTGGTGCTAAACAGATAAGAGTCATTGACTCTACCTAGTTAACTTCTAGTCTAAGCTGGCGCCCACTGCAGCTGGGTGGACTGAGACAATGCAAATAAAGTGTCCTAGCTATTAAAAGGCACATCAAATGATGATAGGAGTTTGAACAAGCGACCTTTGGGTTACTGGTCAAATATCTATGACTGCTGAGCAAAAGCTCCATTAACTCACTTACCAATCTTGATGTGTTTATTATCATCATAGATCATCCACTCATAAACTTCATCTGACAAACAAATGGTGTCATACTTAATACACAGGTCTGCAATCATCTGAAGTTCCTCTCGAGTGAAAACCTGTAAGGATGTTTTATCATGTTTTTTAAAAAAGTGTAACATGAGTGTTATTTTTCAATGGAATGTATTAACAACTTACAAATATATTCACATATTATACAATTTTCTTTTCTTTTCTTTCTTTTTTTTTTGAAAGTCATTTCCACATCCATAAATTCATTCAATATACTTGTGTCAGGTTTACTTAATCTAGTGGTGGACTTTTCTCCTACCTTCCCCAGTGGATTATTAGGATTGTTTATGAACACAGCCTTTGTTTTCTGGCTGAATTTACTCTCCAGTTCCTTGGGATCCAACTTCCAGTCCTTGCTAGAAGTCACCTGTCCTGTCTTTGTCTGAAACATTACACAGACATTTTTGCTGATACTTTGTAAAAAAGCAGACACATTAAATATACTGGTATTAGTAAACTGTACCTGAATACAGTAAATTGCATTTAAAACAAACAAGGATATTGAAGAATCATGGATAAAGCAATCTCTTTTTTCATCTCTGAGAAACTTTTAACAACTTTCTTGTATATTTTTACTGTTACATGCATAACAAACTTTGACATAAAGAATTAATGGATATAGCAGATTTGTAATATAGCTAAATAGATTTACAGGTTCTCAGGACCTCACTATAACTAAGTTTTGTATAACCAACTACATGTACAATGTATTTGTATTTTTGTTCAAAATGAATATGTGCATGATAGTACATCTCTAATTGCGTACTTGCTACCTGGCATCAAAGAATAAATCCTCTAAGAACAATGTTACAGCATAACATACTCACAGGCCTCAGAGGGCAATAAAATGCTTCTCCTCCAGCAACTTTAACCATAGGTTCATAGCAGTCAAAGTAGGGCTCAATGATCACAGCTTCATCCCCAGGGTTTATTAATCCTTGGGCAGCACAGAATAGGACACCATATGCCCCAACTGATACAGTCACATTTTTAAATGGGTCCAACTCATGGCCAATGAGAGGTGAGTATAACTTTGCCAGAGCTGAAACAAGCCTGGGATGACCCTGAAAAACATACCCATGTAAACACAAGGTCACACTTAAAGCAGATAGACTAAAATATACTACAAGGTCATATCTGAAGCATAAAGTTAATTGTTTTATAAACATATAAATACAAAGTCATACTTGAAGTGTAGACTTTAATATTTACATTTCCAATGTCTTTGTCCGAGATAAAATTACAAATTGTAAATGTACTTTATTTCCCCATCAATGTATTGGTGCGGTTAAAAAAAACCACGTGCAGTGCGAACAAACAGCTAGACAGAAGCGGGGCTTGGAGCACGTGTATTGGCGGAATCAAAGCATGTAAATATAAGGAATAACTGTCATATTTTTCAATTTCATGACGACGATCAATCGATTGGCTTGCGTGATAACTTTATGCGTAAACGCCTTCGGCATTTATGCAAATTATCACGCAACCCAATCGATTGATCACATCATGAAATCGAAAATCAGACAGTTATTCCTTAAATCTTTTTTCACAAGTTTTGCAAAAAGTATCCAAAGAGGGGGTATTTAAAGATGAGGTCACTCCCCCCGAGGGAGTTCGATTGTGGTATATAAAAGATGAGCATGGTTGTACAGAAGGTAAGAGGGATAATTGAACAATTTTGAGTGGAAACTTACAAAGCTGCGAGTATACTGATGCATGAGGTGGTTGTCACTAGCAACTGCTGCTGTCATCTCGTCAATCACATGTTGTGGAGGCTTAAAGTCAGGAAATCCCTACAAAACATCTGAAATCTTAAAGCCATTGTTCTATTTATAATAGCTACATTAGTTTCTTCATTTTATACACCATATATCTCCTTCATATTTTAAATTTGTGCATATAGTGTATTTAAAAAAAAAAAAAAATGTTACCTGTATACCAGGTGTTTGTTTCCTGTTCAGAAGATTCTATCAGAGATAAAGCTTTTACCTGTCCAAGATTCAAGGCTTCATTTTCTACTGCAAGCTTTCCAAACTCCACCCTAAAGTAAAAACCAATTTTAGAAGAACGCCTTTTAAATGTGGGATGTCACTTTTACTCGCTAAATGCAATTAACATAATATTTATATAAACTTGATACAAACAGATACTAATTTTAACCAAGACCAAATAGCAAGACTTTTTTCACATGGTTGTGCAGACCTTGTCTTGCCAAAATTATAATTATTACACAACTTGTATGATAACCATATTTTTATGTCCCATTTCAAAGTTTATATTGTACATATTCAAAACCATTAAATAATGGTTTATTGAAATTTAGCATGTAACAAGGTTAGAATGTTCTTCCTCAAAAGTTGACCAAGTATCCAAGAGTTCTTGAAGAATATAATTGACATGGCCAAAATCATCAAGGAAAACAACTTAATTGGTCTTGTTAGAGCTCGACTGAGTCAGAAGAGAATTATTACCATATGTTCTTCTCTGTTCCCTTTATCCTATTGGAGCCTGTTAATTTGGAAGACATGGTTCTCTACAACAACAAAATCAACTCTTCAGATCACTGTACATAAAAACTTGTTAGAAAAAGAAATGCACTGCATTCATTTCTGATCAGTATACAGTAATTGTACTTCAAAGTTCAATTCATTATTAGTCATCTTACTTTTAATTTGTGTCTTATCAAGGAATTTACCTTAGTTCATGTACCACAAATGTTTTTTTTTTTTTTACTTTTACTTGCATTTAGCAGATTGTAAATTATCTGAGTTGACCACTTTTTAACATTGTCATGATGTATATATCAAGAAAGAAGGTTATTTAGGGTGCTTATTCAAAGTTAAAGAGAATGGTTTATAAGTAGAAAATATGCAAGTAAACTGCAATGCATAAATAACATGAGTGATAAATATAAATTAATAGAAAGATAAACATGTAACATTGCATAAAAATTCAAATTAATGACAAAAGTCATAATAAAATATATTATAGTAACCTTATTAATATTGTGAAAATTAGAATTCAACATAATTTACACACAATGCACACAGTAGAAACTCACAACATTCTCACTAATTGCAGTATTATTTGTAGCCTTTGATAAGCAGGATAAATAGGATCTGGACTGTGCATTGATACCACACTTTCCGGCTGTTGATAACAGGGAAACAATCCTCATAACTTAAAATATAAATGTAAAGATGATAGTAAGATTTCTTATCATCAATTATTAATGATGGTTTTTTAATTTAATCATATTACCGGTAATGTTTATCTCACAGTCATCCCTTCATCACTTTCACTGATTTATCTTGTGCAACCCTACCACTACCCATAAAATAGCCTGAAATTTTATGTCAAATTTAACACAAGCAACCTTATTAATTATTGTAAAAGAAAGGTGATGTATGTTAAGTATGAAAACCCTTTCTATTCTCAATGAAAAGTTTTAAGAAAAGTCAGTCAAATTTCAAGGTCACAGGGTGAACAGTTTTAGTATTTTTAGAAAGGTCTTGTCAGTTTCTAAACAAAGTGCAATATGAAAGCCGTATCTTTTCTCTTTCAAAAGTTATGTCCAATTTAGTTAAAGTAATATTAAAATTTTTGACAAGAAGGCTTCCAGAGTTCTTGAAATCTTTCGGTCGTTTAGCCTAAACCGGTTAAAACAACCAAGGACCAATAACTTTGTGTTCTGTGTCAGTCGCAATGACCGGTAGATGTTGAGAGAGCAACTTGAGAAAATCCGACTAAATTTCGTACGAATTCCCTTTAACAACCGATCATAATCTGTTAAACGCTTTTCAGTATCTAAAAATGGCTTCTTCGATGAATGCAAGTACCAAACTGTGATTGATAAACTGTTAAAACAAGTTTGTTTACGGCGCTAAGGTAAGCCAGGTGAGAAAAATCGAACTGGATTAAGGACTTATGAAGAAAATTGACCCCCATGAGAATTCAACAAAAATTGTTATACAATGATCAAATCAGCATGAAGTGTGCAGTGTGTATTGATGCAGGGTGCAAAATGTATTAATAATAAAAATCAAATACAGTTTTCATCTTTTTATTGATTTTTTTTTTTGGACTGATAGAAATCTGTCTGGACTTACAAACTTCCTATGAGTCAGTCCAAGTGACTGACAGCCGAAGAAAGATTTCAAGAACTCTGCAGTAGGTCAAACTTCAAGGAAAGGTTTCTTTACAGGTAATGTGCATGTGAAATATGAATTCCCTTATCTCTTCTCATTAAAAAGTTATGATCAAGGTTAAAGTTTTTGTAGCAGATCGAAGGACAGACTGAATGACAGACAGACTGTCAGGTGAATGAGACATAATGTCCCCTTGCTTGCCTTTCGCGAGAGTGGTTGACAACAATTCCTTGTTTATAGAAAGAAAAATATATAGCCCACACTAATCTCAGTGAGGTTCGTAGAGACTAAAAATTTTGGTAAATGTTGTCAACGATTCAGTACCATTGCATGAATATAATATGTCATGACTTGTTCTCAGATTTTTTTTAGTTGTTTCTCTGTGTGCATTATTTCACTGATCACTGAGGATTTTGGAATACATGTAATTTACATGATGTAAACAGGTACAGGTCATGATCTTACTTTTACAAGTGACCATGCTTCTGAGGATTAACAGTCTAAACAGAATCAAGATTAGGTGTATACATTACCTGCACTACATATAATTACGTATAACAAACATTAAAATTTGTCCATGTAAAAGAATGACAAACGTAAGTGAAATTTTCAATTTTATTTTTTAAGTTTAACAGAGTGAAAGTGCAATGCTGCTGTGTAATGGGGTTCCGCGAAAATCATGTACTTGATTAAATGCAGATATGAATACCTGTTCTATTATATTTTCCCTTTAACTTGAAGTTTTGTCTTTAGACTGTTCCTCTTTAAGCTCGTCCCAGATTCAGAATGATGATGGTCCGGTCATCATGTTGCACCTCTCAGATCTCGATGACTTTCTAACCTCTTTTTCCTGAAGAGTTGGTATGAGTAAACCCCCTTTACAAATATATAGTTAAAAGCACGGTATATCACCCTGCAGGCTATAATCACATAATAAATAATTAATTTAAAACACAATCAACTGATTACCAGCCAATTAATATTTTAAATAATTATCTACTAGGTTATCAGGGATAGGGTAACAAGCCCCCACCCCATATATAATTTTTTTTAATCAATCAAAAAAAGAAGAATGATTTTGCCTCTTTGATTATGCCCCTGTAATCCAAGATTGGGGGGGGGTTATAGTTTTTGCCCTGAACGTCTATCTGTCCTATTGTCTGTCATAATTTTGTTTGATTTATATGTTGTTTAACGTCTCTCTCGTATGAGGCACCGTTTTGGTAGTTATAACTACCAAAAAGTGATATTACCTATTCAATCGGTGGTATCACACATTCAAATAGGTGATGATATCACCTATTAGATTTAAATTGATGATATCACCTATTCCAAAAGGTGATATCATTTATTCGAATATGTGATACCACTTATTCGAATAGGTGGTATCACCTTTTTGGAATAGGTGATATCACTTACTTGAATAGGTGATATCACCTGTTCGAATATGTTATCAACTTTATCATTTTGAATAGGTGATATCACTTATTTGAAAAGGTGATATCACTTATTTGAAAAGGTGATATCACCTATTTGAATAGGTTATAGATTATATCACTTTTGCCAGTCAATACGAAAACGGCACCACATACTCTCGAGAATTTTTCCGGCACTCTGGAGACGTTAGGAATAAAACAAAACAACACATTTGAACAATTGGTGTTGCAATGGGCTTTCATATTTTTTGTTTCATGTATGAAGCCTTTTCACAAGCTTAAATATTTTTTTTATCTTTTTACCTTGACCTTAGGGTTGACCCACTTGGAGAAAACTTTTAATCTCTTCATAACGTTTGAACAGTTGGTACCAGTGCTTTAAAAATTCACAGATATAGTTTTGAGACAAGATCTTCCTTTGGTACCGATACTTTTGACCCTTTTGACTTTAATCTTGTAATTTTACCTATTTTTGAAAAAAAATTAATCTTCGCCATAACTTTTGAACATTTAGTGCTAGGTTTTTTTTATATTTCATACATGTATTTCATTATTTCTAATTTCATATTTTTTATGATAAGGACTTTATCTGTGTACCATTAATTTTGATCCTTTCATCGTGACCTTGGAGTTTACTTGACCCATGTTTAGAAAACATAACCTTGACCATAACTGACATTTGAAACTTGTACTTGTAACTACAGGAAAACAATTTTGAAAACTGGAATAGAAATATCAATAATTAAGCGCATAAAAGTATATTTTCTTGTTTTTACAAATATATACTTATCAGTTGATTACATATATTTATTTATTTATTCACCAATCAAGGGCCCTCTGGGGGCATATACATACTCGTATTTTACTATTTGATATAATAAGTTCATGATATGATGAAAATTATCTTTACATCAATATCATATCTTTGTTACCTTCTTTTCATCATGTTTTCACAGCATTTACACTAATGCTTTTGAAATGTACAATTAAGGACAGATGATACAAACTTTTGTCCAAAAAATTTAAAATAGCAACTTTTAAAAGTCGTGTTTTAACGAGTAAAATTAATGCTACGTTTACACTATGTTCCCGGCAGCCACGGCAATCACGTTTCAGGCCACCGTGGAAAAAACGGGACGGGCGTGAGAAAACTTGGGGCAACGGGATGGGCAAACGGAACTCATCGCGATTGCCGTGGATGCCGTGCCAGATTTTTAAACTGTCAAAAAATTTGCCACGGCGGCCACGTTGCAGATGTGAAACTTAGTAGGTCGTAAAAAACGGAATAAACGCAACAAAACGCGACAGCACGTAAAAGACCGTAACAGAACTTGGAGACAGTCCGCAGTGGGACGGGAGATATGTATATTTCTATTCATCTCACGATCCATTCACGTTTTGAGACGTTTTGCTGAGTTTAGTCTGCGTTCTGTCACGGCTAGTTCACGGTTGTTGTCCGTTTTATCACGTTCTGTCACGTTTCATCACGGTCTTCACGGCAAACTAGGGTGTATGGTAGCCGTTTCCTCGCGTTCAATCGCGGTTCGTCCCGGCATGTTACGGTTTATGGTCCCGGTGCGTCGCGTTCTACTACGGTCTGACACGGCGCACGCGGTCTGAGAGGAAGCATATAAAAGCCGGGCACTGCAGAGAAGTTTCATTATGGATCCATATGGATCTCCGCCTTCTCATCCTGTCTTATTCGTCTCATTCCTAGTTGCTGCACTCCTGTCTTCCCTCTCTGTAACTGCTGCTGGTTCTCTTCATTTTGACGAAGTGATTTTAGGTATGCACCAGCAAACACGCGAAAATAAAATCTTCGTTTTGGAAATTATGATGTTTTATCTTCGAAGGGTCATGATATATATGATTGTTTCTGGTTAGGAGACCTTCTCTGGTACAAACGTGATCCATAGTTTCCCGGCGTCCATGTTTCATACGTAGAAAGACTTGACAGAACGTGAGAAACGTATAAGAACTTTATAAGAACGCGAGAAACGAGAGGGAACCTATCAGAACGTAAGAGGCCTGGGAGGAACGTGCTGGCATACCTGGCAGAACCGTAGTGTTGGAGCCTCCGGCACTCCACGCATTTACGGCCCATCACGGATTCCGTAGAAGACCGTAGATATACCGCAAAAGAACTTGTCAAGACTTGGATATAGAGAAAAATAACCAAAATCTCACGGCGCACTACGTTTCGGGCAAACGGGGCTGCCGTGGCTGCCGGGAACATAGTGTAAACGTAGCATAATAAGTCTCAGTGCCTGATTTTTATTTTTTGTTATTCAAAGTGTCACATAAAATGGGATTTGATGTGAAAAATATTTGTATAGATTAATAATTAAGGATGGTTTCAGAAAGGCAGAATTTTAAACATCATAGAAGGTTTGCTTTATGATCTACTAAAATGTGTTAATTGCACCATTTTCAATGAAATTAGGCCAAAAAAATAAATACCAATCCATGCATCCATTTTTTGTTTGTATACCGATCTGTCTTTAATGTGTTTGGTGAATTGCAAAGTGGTTTTACACAATAAATAAAATACATGTATGTTAAAGCACTTTTGAAAATGGTTTTTACACCGGGGATTGAATACTATTGTATAGATTTATTAGATAAATCGAAGAAATATGTCGAAAATCCCTCTGGCTAAAAAGTAAATATTTACTGTCCAACGCGTGTTGACTGTAAACAAAGTATATCTATTTTTGGTAGCGATTACAAATATTGACCAATCAGAGGAGATGTCAAAGGGCGTGTTTGGACCCGTGACGTCATGTTAACCTAGTAATTTCAATTTCATTGGTTGATATTCTGGAGTGTCGAAATGACGGATTTCAATTGGTCGTTATTTCTATATCGCGCCCGACCACCGCGCGTCTACTACGAGCTGTTAGCGTCACTTGCTAAGTTGTTTACTGGAAGATCGATTTTAGAAAATTACTTTTTGTGAGTAAGTAAAGTTTTTATCATATTTTGCACCAATATATTTGATTAAAGCATACAGTTTCAGTATATATTTTAGCAAAATTGCAAATTCGTAGAGCACAATAATGCATAGTTCATACTTCTTTTGATTTAACACTGTAACGCCCGCTCACCGCCATAGTGGATTTTTTTTGTAACCACAGATTTTATTTTAGATTCTCTCAATGCATGAATTTACTGTTGCATTTATACCAGTGAAATTTTTCTCAGAAACAATGGAAAATGCCACGTTTTTAAATAAATATGCTTTTTTTCATTTTCTTTTGGTCCAAACCAAATCGTTCCCCTTTGTTCTTCCTGATAGCCTAGTCAACAAAGATGGCGCAAACAACAATCTTGATATATTTTGTTGCGTAACACAACGACGTTTTATGAGAGCATGACACAGATAATGACATTATTTTTAACACGCACCTGTTTTAAACTTTGCCTTTGTATTTTGTAGTTATCCCGCTCATAATGGCAGCTACAGCAAAGAAGGGAGGAAAGAAGGCTGATGCCCCAGGTATAAAAATCATGAAACTACTTTAAATGTCAATAATTTTCTAGTATAAGACAGATACTTATAAATTGCTTACATGGAAGCAGTTCACAAAGCAATCTTTTGACTACTGATTAAATTCATTGATAAAGGAAAGTTTCCAAAAGAATGAAATCATGTATAAAGTTTTATTGATTAAAAATAAAATTTTTAATTTATCTTCAGCCAAGGCAAAGAAGACAGCAAAACCCAAGTCCCCTAAGAAGGCTGCAAAGAAGGCAGGAGCAAAGAAGGGTATGTTTTCTGCCAAGAAATCGGTACAACGAAGCCAAAATAGAGAATATGAATAACTACATTTTCATACTATTAAAAATAGAGAATATGAATAACTACATTTTCATACTATTAAACAGGAGGATGGGAAAATTCAAAATTATTTTGCATGCCCACATTTTACAGTTTAAGCAAGAACTTTTGTATCTTCACTTTAAGTTAACTTGCATCTTGTAACATAGTGTGCATTATTTGCACTAAGGAGTTATATCCCCTGAGTGTTTAGCAAAAAGAGCATTATGTCTTAAATGTTTGTAAAATAAATGTATTCTCTAAACATTCTGTTATTTTTATGCAGGAGTGAAGAGAGCTGGAAAGAAGGGAGGAAAGAAAGCCACCAAGGCCAAGAAGTGATGATTTCATCATTAGTCAGCTCACGATCCAGGGATATTTTGTCATCAATCATCGTTTAGAACTAGATTTCCACTTCCTTTCTTCTATGGCGCCTTTATTTCAAAGACGACTGAATCTCTTATATTATATAGACCTATATAAGACTGTTATATAGAGTAGTTTATTTATAGATGTGTGTACAACAAACAGTTTTATACCTTTTTTTGCAGAGGATTTAATATTTTGATTTTTTAAACATCAATTTGGTTTTACAA